CTTGGCATGATTTGTTTACTTTTGAACTTTGGTAAAAATAGAACATTTCTGCTACTTTGAGCTCAATTTCAAGGTACTTTTCATTGTAAAATCAGTCAAAATCATCTCAGTTTCTGTAATATGTCTTCCATTCTATGCAACGAGACCAGGAAAACTAGAATACAACAATAAATACCATACAAAAATACAGTGCAAAGTCGCTGTTTTAATCCAAAAACACAAAGTTTTTTTTTTTCTCATTATGCACTGTGTGCTGCAGGATTTTTTTTATACTGCACACACTGACCACATAGACCCATTCTTTCATATGTAGGCTTACCAGCTTTCTCTCACTAGATTTGAGGGCGCTAGAATTTAGGCGTACTAGTACGTCAAAAACCCTAGTGCGTAAGCCGTACTAGTACGGCCGAAACCCTGAAAGGGTTAAAGGGACACAAGAAACAGAGCTCTCTGGACACACATTTTGCACAACAGGGGTCCAGTGACTCTCAGGCTGGTCCTAGTGGCATTAAAAAACAAAGAAGGGAGGTACCCCAGAAAAGGACTTGTTACCTGAAGTCTTTATGGAAGGGGATTCCCCTTCCAAACAATAGAACACCTGCATCATCTGCCCTCCTACTGTCTCATCACTCATCAACAATTCCACAATAAAGGTAAGTGTCATTTCAGTAATGTTTATTGTGCATGTAACATTGTGTTCTATGTAGGAAAATGTATATTTCATGTGAATTTTTTTTTTTCATACTTTTGGGTGTCTGGAACGGATTAATTGAATTTCCATTATTTCTTACGGGGAAAATTAATTCGGTTAAAAGCTAAATCAGTTAAAGCCTAGCTCTCTGGAACGGATTAAAGGCATTAACCGAGGGTCCGCTGTATATACTCTAGAATGAATAAAATATGTTATAATGTATGTGAGAAGTAAGTTCTGGAAGCGTTGTTGTTGGGTTTATAAGGGCCACTGAGAGAAGCCATACATAGTGGTGGAGGAGGCTTTTGCCACCACCGCTATCCACACGTAAACAATATATGTACATAATTTATAAATGAGAAATATTTACATTTTAATTTATAAATAAGAAATATTTACATTTTAATTTATAAATAAGAAATATTTGCACTTACCTTGGAGGAGATGTTACTTTAATTAGCTTCATGGAGTGTAGCAGATATGCAGGGAGTGTAGCAGGCATGCAGGAAGTGTAGCAGGTATGCAGGGAGTGTAGCAGGCATGCAGGGAATGTTGCAGGCATGCAGGGAATGTCGCAGGCATACAGGGAGTGTAGCAGGCATGTAGGGAGTGTAGCAGGCATGCAGGGAGTGTAGCAGGCATGCAGGGAGTGTAGCAGGCATGCAGGGAGTGTAGCAGGCATGCAGGGAGTGTAGCAGGCATGCAGGGAGTGTAGCAGGCATGCAGGGAGTGTAGCAGGCATGCAGGGAGTGTAGCAGGCATGCAGGGAGTGTAGTAGGCATGCAGGGAGTGTAGCAGGCATGCAGGGGGTGTAGCAGGCATGCAGGGAGTGTAGCAGGCATGCAGGGAGTGTAGCAGGCATGCAGGGAGTGTAACAGACATGCAGGGAGTGTAGCAGGCATGCAGGGAGTGTAGCAGACATACAAGGAGTGTAACAGGCATGCAGGGAGTGTAGCTACAAGTTTTTTCTTGAATTTTATTGTGTTTCTTTCCTTCTTTATCACAGGGCTGGCACTAGAAACTTTCTTTGGGTCCATGGTGGCTTATTTATCAGTTACAAGCACTAAAAACAATGGAATAATACAAAATATATCACATGTACGCATGGAATCGTCCTCACTGGCTTGTAAACAATGGCACACTACCTTGTACATGGGCTCAGGCTGCGCGGCATGTTCGAGATGAATGTCCTTAACTGAGTTTTTCATCGTTAGCCGAGCCAATATTTTGACGCAAAAACGCATTTTTATCCGATTTTATTGCTATCCGATAGCATCGTTAACTGAGGGTCCACTGTAATTCAAGATATTTGGTATTCATGCTTTACTTTGCTGGTATGGAAGATTGTCGAGTTTTTTATTAGCAGGATTAGAAATGGGGAACTGATACTAGCTGTTATGTAATAACATTCAGATGAAGAGTAAGATGAATGCATAAATTATTGAAATACAGTGGACCCCCGAGTTTTGTCAGCATTGACTTTCGTGAAATCCGACTTTTGGCAAGTTTTTTCGTCAAAATTTAGCCTTGCGATTTGTGATTGGACTCGTGATTCGGCGACCGCCCGGTACCCGTCCGCCCGTCACCGCGCACACAAAGCCAGTCTCCCGCACCATACACACTCAGTGTGCCATTGTTTACCAGCACGGGACCATCACCCTGTGGGTTTATACAATACATTTCATAATAATCCATTGTTTTTTGTGCTTGCAACTGCTAAATAAGTCACCATGGGCCCAAGGAAAGCTAGTGCAAGCCCTTTGGTAAAGAAAGCGAGGAACACAATCAAATTCAAGAAGGAAATCAAGAGAGGGATTTTGAAGGATTTGGGGCTGACCCTAAGGAGCCTATGCCAGTTGTGGAATCTATTGTGGCATTGGGGTTGGAGGTGAGTGGCAAGGATGTGGAAGAGTTGGTGGAGGACCACAGGGAAGAGCTAACTACTGAAGAGCTGCAAGAGCTTCATCTGCAACAGCAAGAGATCACAGCTCAGGAAATTGCTGCAGAGGAGGAGGAAGAGAGATGGAGGAAGGTGCCTTCTTCAAAGATTAAGGACATCTGTGCAAATATGACTGAAGTGCAAACATTTATGGATGAACTTCACCCTAATAAAGCTGTTGCAGGCTGTATTGGCAACATGTGCAATGACAGTGTTGTCCCACTTCAGACAAATCTTAAAGGAACGCCGGAAACAGAGCTCTCTGGACAGATATTTTGTGCGACAGGGGTCCAGTGACTCTCAAGTTGTTCTCAGTGTCTTTAAAAAACAAAGAAGGGAAGTAACCCCAGATAAGGACTTGGTATCTGAAGTCCTAATGGAAGGAGATTCTCCTTCCAAACAATAGTGTACACCTTCCTCCTATCCCCTCCTCCCGTCTTCCATCCACCCAGAAGTCTTCAGTAAAGGTAAGTGTAATGTTGTTATTATTTTATATATGTACGTACTTGATTTCTTATTGTTTTCAGTATGTAAATCTTTATTTAATTTGAAAAAAAAAAATATTTTAATTTAATATTTTTGGGTGTCATTAAGTGAGGAGCCGCGCCTTACTGATATTTCAAGTATGCTGTTCTAGTAGTGGGTGTGTCAGTCATCTTTCACCCAGGAAAATACTAGCAATTATGTAGAACAGGATAATAAACTATGTACGATTGCAGTAACTAGTGACATGGTCCTCAGATAAAGAGAGAAACTAGAACCTAACAAATCCCCAGGCCCTGATGAACTGTTTGCAAGGGTGTTAAAGGAATGTAAAGAGGAACTTAGCATACCTTTGGCTAATCTTTTCAACATATCACTACAAACTGGCATAGTGCCTGATAAGTGGAAAATGGCAAATGTAATACCTATTTACAAGGCAGGTGACAGGTCCTTGGCTTCGAACTATAGACCAATAAGCCTTACCTCCATAGTAGGAAAATTTATGGAATCAATAATTGCTGAAGCAATTTGTAGCCATCTTGATAGGCACAGATTGATTAATGAACCTCAACACGGTTTTACAAAGGGGCATTCCTGTCTTACGAATTTACTAACTTTTTTCGCCAAGGTGTTTGAGGAGGTAGATCATGGTAATGAATATGATATTGTGTATATGGACTTCAGTAAGGCTTTCAATAGAGTTCCACACCAGAGGCTATTGAGGAAACTTAAGGCACATGGAATGGAGGAGAAATTTCTTCTTGGGTAGGGGCATGGTTGACAAATAGGCAGCAGAGAGTTTGCATAAATGGGGAGAAATCAGAATGGGGGCACGTAACAAGTGGTGTTCCTCAGGGGTCAGTGTTGGGCCTGTTGTTGTTCACAATTTACATAAATGACGTAGATAAGGGAATAAATTGCGACATAAGCAAATTTGCTGATGACACCAAAATAGGCCGTCCAATTCATTCTAATAAGGACACTAGAGCACTCCAGGATGATTTGAATAGACTGATGCAATGGTCGGAGAAGTGGAAGATGCAGTTTAATATAGACAAATGCAAAGTTCTAAATGTTGGACAGTTAAATAACCATGCCACATATAAACTAAATAATGTAGATCTTAATACTGCTGATTGTGAAAAGGATTTAGGAGTTTTGGTTATCAGTAATCTAAAACCAAGACAACAGTGCATTAGTGTTCGCAATAAAGTTAACTGAATTCTTGGCTTCATATCTAGAAGTATAAATAATAGAAGTCCTCAGGTTGTTCTTCAATTCTATATATCCTTGGTTAGGCCTCATTTAGACTATGCTGCTCAATTCTGGTCACCGTATTACAGAACGGATATAAATGCTCTGGAAAACGTACAGAGGAGGATGACAAAGATGGTCCCATGTATCAGAAATCTTCCCTATGAGGATAGACTGAGGACCCTGAATCTGCACTCTCTCGAAAGGCGTAGAATTAGGGGGGATATGATCGAGGTGTATAAATGGAAAACAGGAATAAATAAAGGGGATGTAAATAGTGTGCTGAAAATTTCCAGCCAAGACAGGACTCACAGCAGTGGTTTCAAGTTGGAAAAATTCAGATTCAGGAAGGATATATGAAAGCACTGGTTTGGTAATAGAGTCATGGATGAGTGGAACAAACTCCCGATTACAGTTTTAAAATAGGTTAGATAAATACAGTGGACCCTCGACCAATGATATTAATCCGTTCCTGAGAGCTCAACGTTAATCGAAATTATCGTTAGTCGAGTTAATTTTCCCCATAAGAAATAATGGAAATCAAATTAATCTGTGCAAGACACCCAAAAGTATTGAAAAAAAAAATTTTACCACATGAAATATTAATTTTAATACACACAAACTGAAGAAGACATGTACAATTATATGACACTTACCTTTATTGAAGATCTGGTGATGATTGATAGGATGGGAGGAGGGGAGACTGTGGATGATGTTAGTGTTTAGAAGGTGAATCCCCTTCCATTAGGACTTGAGGTGTCGAGTCCTTTTCCGGGGTTACTTCCCTTCTTCTTTTAATGCCACTAGGACCAGCTTGAGAGTCACTGGACCTCTGTCGCACAACATATCTGTCCAGAGAGGCCTGTACCTCCCGTTCCTTTATGACATTCCTAAAGCATTTCACAACATTGTCAGTGTCACAATTAAACACTTGTTCAGGTTTCAATTCTTCACTGTCTATGTACTCCTTGAATTCCTGCACATATTTTTCAGCTGCTTTTTGGTCCAAACTGGCAGCCTCACCATGCCTTATCACACTGTGTATGCCACTACGATTCTTAAATCTCTCAAACCAACCTTTGCTGGCCTTAAATTCACTCACATCACCACTAGTTGCAGGCATTTTTCTAATTAAATCCTCATGCAACTTCCTAGCCTTTTCACATATGATCACTTGAGAGATGCTATCTCCTGCTATCTGTTTTTCGTTTATCCACACCAATAACAGTCTCTCAACATCTTCTATCACTTGCGATCTCAGTTTCGAAAACATAGTTGCACCTTTGGCAAGAACAGCTTCCTTGATTGCCATTTTCTTGGCCACAATAGTAGCGATGGTTGATTGGGGTTTTGTGTACAACCTGGCCAGCTTGGAGACACACACTCCACTTTCATACTTAGCAATGATCTCTTTCTTCATATCCATAGTAATTCTCACCCTTTATGCTGTGGAGTTGGCACTAGAAGCTTTCTTGGGACCCATGGTGACTTATTTTGCAGGTGCAATCACTAAAAAACGCTGTGATAATATGAAATGTTCCGATTGTATGTTTGGATGGGACCGCGGTGGCTGGCTGGCTTGTAAACACTGTCCACAAGTGGACGCGTCTCAGACGGAACGAATCATGTTGGTCGAGTTTTTTAGCGCTAGTCAAGGCAAAATTTTTGCATTAAAATGTATCGCTAGTCAGATTTAACGTTAGACGATGCCATCGTTGGTCGAGGGTCCACTGTACATGAGTGGGTGTGAGTTGAACCTGACTAGCTTGTGCTGCTGGGTCTGGTGCCGTGCTCCTTCCTTGAGTGGAGGTGACCAGACTGGGTGGGTCATTGTGCTAATCTGGGGGGGGGGGAGACATGGACCTGCTCCGCATGAGTCATTAGGCCTGTTGCAGTGTTCCTTCTTTCTTATGTCACCTGTGCACCATTTATAACATTTTTAGTATATCTAAATTATAACTAGGCATTAAATATTGGTGTAGTTAAGGTAGGATTTCAGATATGCAAGTGCATGATCTCTGATACCATAATGTTCCATTTGAGTTTAAGGTGCAGAGTGCTGTGGTCTGTGTTGAAAGCTTTCCTAAGGTCAATAAAAATGGCTAAGTGGATATTCATTATTTTCGAGAGCTTTATAAAGGAACTTTAGCACTTTTATACTTGCATCATTTGTGCTTTTATTTAGTCTAGATTGGGGTTTCCTGAGGTCACCAGTACTGATCCTTAATGATTGATGGGACTATTGAAGAGGTTGATAAATGGCTGGGGTCAAAATGGGGTCAGTAAATGTCTGGGAATGTTCTTTGATTTGTGTATCTGTGACCTTCCACCCTTTCCCTTGTCTCTCATCTCTGCTGTCCTGGGAAGGATATACAGTGGACCCCCGCATACCGTCGCCATCACATAACGTACAATCCGCATACCGCTCGCTTTTATCGCAAAAATTTTGCCTCGCATACCGCTCAAAAACCTGCTCACCGCTCTTCGTCCGAGATGCGTCCAATGTGCGCCCTTAGCCAGCCTCACATGTGCCGCTGGTGGCATTGTTTACCAGCCTGCCTCCGCGGTAACATCCAAGCATACAATCGGAACATTTCGTATTATTACAGTGTTTTTGGTGATTTTATCAGCCAAATAAGTGACCATGGGCCCCAAGAAAGCTTCTAGTGCCAACCCTACAGCAATAAGGGTGAGAATTACAATAGAGATGAAGAAAGATATCATTGATAAGTATGAAAGTGGAGTGCGTGTCGCCGACCTGGCCAGGTTGTACAAGAAACCCAAATCAACCATCGCTACTATTGTGGGCAACAGAAAGGCAATCAAGGAAGCTGTTCTTGCCAAAGGTTTAACTGTGTTTTCGAAACAGAGATCGCAAGTGATGGAAGATGTTGAGAGACTCTTATTGGTGTGGATAAATGAAAAACAGCTAGCAGGAGATAGCGTTTCTCAAGCGATCATAAGCGAAAAGGCTAGGAAGTTGCATGAGGATTTAATTAAAAAAATGCCTGCAACTAGTGATGATGTGAGTGAATTTAAGGCCAGCAAAGGTTGGTTTGAGAGATTTAAGAAGCGTAGTGGCATGCATAGTGTGATAAGGCATGGTGAGGCTGCCAGTTCGGACCACAAAGCAGCTGAAAAATATGTGCAGGAATTCAAGGAGTACATAGACAGTGAAGGACTGAAACCTGAACAAGTGTTTAATTGTGATGAAACAGGCCTGTTTTGGAAGAAAATGCCAAGCAGGACCTACATTACTGAGGAGGAAAAGGCACTCCCAGGACATAAGCCTATGAAAGACAGGCTTACTTTGTTGATGTGTTCCAATGCTACTGGTGATTGCAAAGTGAAGCCTTTATTAGTGTATCACTCTGAAACTCCCAGACCGTTCAGGCAAAAGAATGTCCTCAAGGAGAATTTGTGTGTGCTGTGGAGGGCAAACAGTAAGGCATGGGTCACTAGGGACTTTTTCTATGACTGGTTACACCATGCATTTGCCCCCAATGTGAAAGATTACCTAACTGAAAAGAAATTAGAGCTTAAGTGCCTCCTGGTGTTAGACAATGCCCCTGGTCATCCTACAGACGTGGCAGAGCGACTTTATGGGGACATGAAATTCATTAAGGTCAAGTTTTTGCCTCCTAATACCACTTCTCTCCTGCAGCCCATGGACCAGCAGGTTATTGCAAACTTCAGAAAACTGTACACAAAAGCTCTGTTCGAAAGGTGCTTTGTAGTGACCTCAGAAACTCAACTGACTCTAAGAGAGTTTTGGAGAGAGCACTTTAATATCCTCAATTGTGTAAACCTTATAGGTAAGGCTTGGGAGGGAGTGACTAAGAAGACCTTGAACTCTGCTTGGAAGAAACTGTGGCCCGAATGTGTAGACAAAAGGGATTTTGAAGGGTTTGAGGCTAACCCTGAGAGGATTATGCCAGTTGAGGAATCCATTGTGGCATTGGGAAAGTCCTTGGGGTTGGAGGTTAGTGGGGAGGATGTGGAAGAGTTGGTGGAGGAGGACAATGAAGAACTAACCACTGATGAGCTGATAGATCAACTTCAACAGCAAGAGGCCAGACCTGAGGAAACTGGTTCAGAGGAAGGGAGAGAGAAATTGAAGAAGTTGCCTACTACAAAGATTAAGGAAATCTGTGCAAAGTGGCTTGAAGTGCAAACCTTCATGGATGAAAATCACCCTCACACAGCTATTGCAAGCCGTGTTGGCAACCTGTACACTGATAATGTTGTGAAACACTTTAGGGAAGTCATAAAGGAACGAGAGGTACAGGCCACTATGGACAGATATGTTATGCGAAAGAAGTCCAGTGACTCTGAAGCTGGTCCTAGTGGCATTAAAAGAAGGGAAGTAACCCCAGAAAAGGACTCGACACCTCAAGTCTTAATGGAAGGGGATTCCCCTTCTAAACACTAACACTCTCTCTTCCCTCCTCCCATCCCATCAATCATCACCAGATCTTCAATAAAAGTAAGTGTCATGTAATTGTGCATGCCTTTTTCAGTTTGTGTGTATTAAAATTAACATTTCATGTGGTAAAATTTTTTTTTTTTCATACTTTTGGGTGTCTTGCACGGATTAATTTGATTTCCATTATTTCTGATGGGGAAAATTCATTCGCATACCGACCATTTCGCATAACAGAGCCCTCTTGCACGGATTAAAGTCGCTATGCGGGGGTCCACTGTATGTACGTGTAGTATTCCAGTTTCACCTTCCATACTCCCTCACCTCAAACTCTGATAAAATAGGCCTATTTAATCCTTTGACTGTTTTGGTTGTATATATACGTCTTACGAGCCACCGTGTTTGATGTATTAATGTGCATAAATTCTAGCGGCTTCGAATCATGCAGGAGAAAGCTGGTAGGCCCACATGTGAGAGAATGGGTCTCCAGGGTCAGTGTGCACTATATAAAAAAAAATCGGGGAGCCAGTGGTGCATTGTGGGAATGCCATTTCAATAGTCCTTGTTCAGCATGCCTAGCAGTAAGAAATGTGTGACTCCCTGTCAAATCTGGGACTCTACTCTTCCCAAGTGATGCTCTAACACAGATGGAAGTGTCAATGAAGATCAGTTTCATGGTTTTGAGGAGTTTGTGACCAAAAGCAATGCCCAGGATACCAGAAGAATGAAGGAGAATGAGGGAGAGAATGAGAGAGAGAATGATAGAATGAGTTAGAAAGATAATTAGATAGGATGGAGGGGAAGCAAGCATCCGACCCCATTGTTTTGATAGGCCGTAGGGGGAGTGAGTAATTGAGACAATATCATTTTGACAGCTGCCGACCCTGACTCGGAGCAATTAGAAGTCCACACACTTGCACACAACACAAGCTTGAAGATAATAGCAGTTATACGAAAGTATCCAGTGACTATATATGTGTATATATATTATAGAAACCAGAAGGAAGGAAGAAAGGAAGGCAAGAAGGAAGGACAAGATGAAAGGAAGGAGGGAAAAAAGTAAGGAAGGAAGGAATGTAGGAAGGAAGGTAGGAAAGGAATGCAGGAAGGTAGGAAGGAAGGAATGATGACACATGACCATTTACCTAGGATAACTACCTAACACAATTGCCTGCTAATACTTTGATGAAAACTGCTCAGATGAGGTATTTTGTCTTTGTACATAAAAAAAAGGCCCACAAAAATGCAGACACGCTCATTTTATGTGTGAGGAGTTTAAAACGCCATTGTGCATGAAACCATGTTTCAAAGAGTTCCACAAGCTGCAGAACGTCTAGGAACATGTCCAGTGACTGTATATTTGTATATACATATATTATAAAACAATAATAATAAAAAAATTTTGTATTTGTGTAAACAAGTTTTGTAAACAATATATTGATAATTATGTTTGTGCGCTTATTGTGTTGTATACAACGAGTGTATATATGTACATTGCACCTTACTCTGGACTCGCAGGCCACATAAGTAACCTGAAAAAATAAAATAGTGAAAAAACAAGAAACCTTGGAATGCAAGTACAGTGGACCCTCGCCTAACGATATTAATCCGTTCCTGAGAGCTCAACATTAGGTGAAATTATCATTAGCCAAATTAATTTTCCCCATAAGAAATAATGGAAATCAAATTAATCCGTTCCTGACACCCCAAAGTATGAAAAAAAAAAAGATTTTACCACATGAAATATTAATTTTAATACACACAAACTGAAGAAGACATGTACAATTACATGACACTTACCTTTATTGAAGATCTGGTGATGATTGATGGGATGGGAAGAGGGGAGAGTGTGGATGGTGCTAATGTTTAGAAGGGGAATCCCCTTCCATTAGGACTTGAGGTGTCAAGTCCTTTTCTGGGGTTACTTCCCTTCTTCTTTTAATGCCACTAGGACCAGCTTGAGAGTCACTGGACCTCTGTCGCATAACATATCTGTCCATAGAGCTCTGTAGCTCCCATTCCTTTCAGATTTGTCTAAAATGGGCCATAACATTGTCATTGTAATAGTCACCAGCACAGCTTGCAATAGCTGTGTTAGGGTGATTTTCATCCATAAAGGTTTGCAGTTCAACCCACTTTGCACACATTTCCTTAATCTTTGAAGTAGGCACAATGGATTCCACAACTGGCATAGGCGTCTCAGGGTTAGCCCCAAACCCTTCAAAATCTTTCTTAATTTCCATACTAATTCTCGCCCTTTTTATCACAGGGTTGGCACTAGAAGCTTTCTTGGGGCCCATGGTGACTTATTTTGCAGGTGCAATCACTAAAAACGCTGTGATAATATGAAATGTTCCGATATGTTTGGATGCGACCACGGTGGCTGGCTTGTAAACACTGGCACCCACGGGACAAGTGAGGCACGCTCAGGCCACACGTGTATGCGTCTCGAACGGAATGAATCGCATTGGGCGAGTTTTTTAGCACTAGCCGAGGCAAAATTTTTGCGTTAAAATGTATCGCTAGGCGGATTTAACGTTACGCAATGCTTTCGTTAGGCGAGGGTCCACTGTAAACCAAAGTTTACCGGGTGAGCGGCATTCGCCTCTGTTGCCATACATGGCTCATTTTCTGCCAACTTTATGCCTCTGTATCTCGGTAAGTACTGATTTAAAAAAAATTTTTTTTTTTTTTTTTTTTTTGGGTTTAAAACAACCAGAAAATTATTCTTAACATTTTCATAAGATTTTTTTTTTTTTTTTTTTTTTTGAAAATTCTTCGACACCAGGAGACACTTCAGGATTTGGGGTTGTGACAGTCAAAGGGTTAAATCTTCACTGGCACGAAGAGATTTTTAGTACGTACGTATTTTTCAAATTTACGGCAGTTAGTAGAAAGTGGAAATATTTCAGATGGTGACCTGGAGATATACACAACACACCTTGACAAATTAAGGGAAAAATTTAAAGTATGCTTTGAGGACCTAGAGAAAGTGCACGTGCCTGACTGGATTCTTACAACATTTGATTTGGAAATACAAAATGCAGACAATAACACTCAATTGCAGGAAGAATTTATTGATATGACTATGTATCTCGAAACAAAAGCATTGTTCAGAAGTAAAAGCTAAAGTGACTATTGAAACAATGTACATAAATACTGTTGCTAAATACCCCTGGCTCTGTGCAGTGGTTGAGCCATTTTTACTTGCTTATCCAAGTTCTTACATGGTTGTAGCTGGTTTTAGCCGTGCAAATGCAACTGTAACTAAGCAGAGGAACAGACTGAACCTGGAAGGGTGTGGTGAGTCACCACTAAGACTCGCCAATCTCTAACCAAATATCAGTGCCATTGTTGATGATCATCAGATGCATCCTTCCCATTAATTATTATTATTATAATCATAATTAAATGCTTAGCCCATCCTTTCCATTAATGATACCAGTTTCAGTAAAAAAGGGTATGTTAATTCTCATATTTTTCATAACTTAAATTTTACCTATTTTTTATTAAGTCATTATTATTATTATTATTATTATTATTATTATTATTATTATTATTATTATTATTATATACGAATACCACCTGGTGGTTCACACGTACTCACTCACCCATTTGACCATAAACAGAAATATCAATCTCAATCTCAAAATAATGAATCTTAACTAGTCAAAAGTTGGCCTGTGATACTCCAATACTGAAACTATGTATTGTGCCAAAACAAAAGCATTCACATTGCTAAACTCACAACTAGTATTTAGTCACTTAGCCATAATACCAACTTATCTCATAATTTGTAATATTTTAAACCTAAGATTTAATATAAGTCTGCCCAAAATGCCTAGCCATGCTAGGTGTTCTACTGGTACACTCTGTAATTATTATTTTACTACATGTAAACCACACAATAACCAAATTCTGTAAACTCAGCATTGTAATACTTATAGAGAATAAAGTTTGAATTTGAATTTGAATAGTGCTATTAGTTAGCCCTTTGAGGGTTTGAGGGTTTCGGCCGTACTAGTACGGCTTACGACCCAGTGTTTTTGACGTACTAGTACGCCTAAATTCTAGTGCCCTCAAATCTAGTGGGAGAAAGCAGGTAGGCCTACATATGAAAGAATGGGTCTATGTGGTCAGTGTGTACAGTATAAAAAAAATCCTGCAGCACACAGTGCATAATGAGAAAAAAAAACTTGGACCGTTTTTTTTGGAATAAAACAGCGACTTTGCACTGTATTTTCGTATGGTATTTATTGTTGTATTCTAGTTTTCTTGGTCTCATTTTATGGAATGGAAGACATATTACAGAAATTGAGATGATTTTGACTGGTTTTACAATGAAAAGTACCTTGAAATTGAGCTCAAAGTAGCAGAAATGTTCTATTTTTACCAAAGTTCAAAAGTAAACAAATCATGCCAAGCGTCCAATACACGTCAACTGGTGAGTCTAATATTCTTTCGCAAGTGCACCAATATTATTTATACCATTTTTTACACTAATGCAGTAGTCAGCATAACAGTAAATCTTCTATTTTTTGTGAGAATAAAAATTCAAAGTGGAAAGCAAAAGAATGTAAGAAGGGCGTTGGAATGTGACTAATGAACAGAGGAAATGTCATTTTAGTGCCAGGAATGTCTTTCTTGTTTGTTCTGGACCCTATTTGGAAATTGGCATCTTTTGAAATTTGTGTGAAATTGGCAAAATTGCTAAATTCTGACCATTGTACTGGATAGTTGAAATTGGTAAATGGGTGGTTTCTTGCACTCATTCGATAGAAAAAATGGAGTTCTAGCGAAATATTATTTTTTTTGTCGACTAGTACAGTGGAATTGGCCAAAAATGGGGCTCAAAGTGGGCAAAATCGCCGATGCTTAAACATCGCTGAGACCGCTAACTTCGAAGAGTATAATTCCGTAAATTTTTCATCAAATTTCATATTTTTGGTGTCATTATGATCAGGAAAAGATTCTCGATCTTTTCATAAGAAAAAAATATTTTTTTTTTAAATTTGGCCGACCCTAAGAACGAGTCTCGGAGAGGGCCTGTCGACCCTCAAAGGGTTAAAGTATTATTTTTTAAATAATTTTCGTATAATGTCTGGGGAGTGATGAACAATTTAAAACTTCATGAAGGGGTCAATGAGCTGAAGAGTTTGGGGACCCCTGGTCTAAATCAAACTGGCAGGGGTTGAGCATATTGAATGACACTAGAAAAGAGCATAATCTCTTGTGAACTAGTTTTTCAAAGATTTTGGATAACAATGGTAAATTAGACATAGGTCTATACTTATTTACATCCGTTGGGTCTCCACCTATGCATACTGGGGTAACTCTTAGGATCTTTATTATTATCAGGAAAGTTGTTAGTTTCCAAAGATTTGTTGAACAATATTGTATTTTTGGGTGGAAGCACATGAACTGCTCTTTTGAACATTCGTAGTGGTACTTGTGTTAAGTTTCCTGACTTGTTTGTCAATGAATTGATTATCAAAGAAACCTCAGTAGGATTAGTTAGAGCCAAATAAAAAGGTTGTTGAGGAAACTTTCAACAAGGTAGTCACTCACCTGGGTATTGTATTGGGATTTTGCTAGCTAGGCTTGATTCTATGGTAGAGAAGAAATCATTTAACATATTGGCTGTTTCATCAAGCTGGATGTTTAGTGCATTGGGTTTGGTTGGGCAATATCACTGGTTTTGGTCAGTTTCCAAGAACCCATGATTGGAGTGTGCATTCCAGGTCTTCTTCATATCACCTCTTTATTTCATTAAATTTGCTAGTATAATACAGCCTCTCCTCACTTAATGATGGAGTTACATTCCTGAGACCACGTCGTTAAACGAATTTGTCACTAAGTGAGGAGCATGCTTTAACCCTTTCAGGGTTTCGGCCGTACTAGTACGGCTTACGCACTAGGGTCCATGACGTACTAGTACTCATAAATTCTAGCACTTTCAAATCTAGTGAGAGAAAGCTGGTAAGCCTACATATGAAAGAATGGGTCTATGTGGTCAGTGTGTGCAGTATAAAAAAAAATCCTGCAGCACATAGTGCGTAATGAGAAAAAAGAACTTTGACCGTGTTTTTGGATTAAGACAGTGACTTTGCACTGTATTTTCGTATGGTATTTATTGTTGTATTCTAGTTTTCCTGGTCTCGTTGTATAGAATGGAAGACATATTACAGAAATTAAGATGATTTTGACTGGTTTTACAATGAAAAGTACCTTGAAATTGAGCTCAAAGTAGCAGAAATGTTCGATTTTTACCAAAGTTCAAAAGTAAACAAATCATGCTATGCGTCCAATACACGTCAACTGGTGAGTCTAATATTCTTTCACAAGTGTGCTGATATTATTTATACCATTTCTACACCAATGCAGTAGTCTGCATAACAGTAAATCTTCTATTTTTTTGTGAGAATAAAAATTCAAAGTGGAAACCAAAAGAATGTAAGAGGGGCATGGGGACTTGACTAATGAAAGAGAAAATGTTAGTGCCAGGAATGTCTTTCTTGTTTATTCTGGACCCTGTTCGGAAATTGGCATCTTTTGAAATTTGTGTGAAATTGGCACAATTGCTAAATTCTGACCACTGTATTGGATAGTTGAAATCGGTAAATGGGTGGTTTCTTTTACCCATTTGATAGAAAAAATGGAGTTCTAGCGAAATAGTTATGATTTTTGTCGACAAGCACACTGGAATTGGCCAAAAATAGGGCTCAAAGTGCGCAAAATCGCTGATGCGTAAACATCGTCGAGACTGCTAACTTCGCGAGAGCATAATTCCGTAAGTTTTCCATCAAATTTCATACTTTTGGTGTCATTATGATCGGGGAAAAGATTCTCTATCTTTTCTTAAGAAATTTTTTTTTTTTTTTTTTAAATTTGGCCAGCCCTGAGAACAAGTCTCTGAGAGGGTCTGTCGACCCTGAAAGGGTTAATTAAACATGCAAGATTTCAGGTACGTCTTGCTACTTCTACTTCCACTTAAGTCACCCTACACATACATGTACAAGCAAATATACACCTACCATCCGACTTAAGACCTGCTCGACTTACGACCGTGTTTTTTATGCCAAATTTCTGGGAAGTAAACAACTATTTGTGTTGTACACAGTGTTTATCCTAAACCTTACAGTATAAAATACAGTACTAACAGCATAAAAAGTAAAGTATAAAACATGAAATACCAAAATAAAACAATGAAATAAAGTCATTACTAAAATGTTTTGTTGATATTCAGTAGTAAAGTTCGACTTACGACCATTTCGACTTACGACTGGTTTCTCGGAACCGAACTCAGTCGTAAGTCGGATGGTAGGTGTATATACACACCCCTCTGGGTTTTCTTCTATTTTCTTTCTAGTTCTTGTTCTTGTTTATTTCCTCTTATGTCTGTGGGGAAGTGGAACAGAATTCTTCCTCTGTAAGCCATGCGTGTTGTAAGAGGCGACTAAAATGCCGGGAGCAAGGGCCTAGTAACCCCTTCTGTATAAATTACTAAATTTAAAAAAGAGAAACTTTTCATTTTTCTTTTTGGGCCACCCTGCCTTGGTGGGATATGGCCAGTTTGTTGAAAAAAAAAATAAACATTTAAAATAACATTTACTTACCTTTATTGAAGCCTGTTGCTGGCATCTGGAAGATAGGAGGAGTGAGGGAGCACTTATTGTTTGGAAGGGAAATCCTCTTACATAAAGACTTTAGTTAACAAGTCCTTATCTGGGGTTACTTCCCTTCTTTGTCTTTTAATGCCACTAGGACCAGCTTGAGAGTCACTGGACCTCTGTCGCACAAAATAACTGTCCAGAGTCCTCTGTTTCTGGCGCCTCTTTAACATTTCCCTAAAATGGGACATGGTTCTGTCACTGAACTTGTTGCAGAGATGGCTTGTTTCAGCTTGCTCACCCCCTCAAGGAAGGTTCCTTGATGTTGGTGAGGGGCTCTTGATTTAGGGAATTGGATCTGTGCTCCAGTTCCCCGAATTAAGCCTGAATGCCTTCCACATCCCCCCCCAGGCGCTGTATAATCCTCCGGGTTTAGCGCTTCCCCCTTGATTATAATAATAATCAGCTTGCTCAGGGTGGTATTTTTCCACAAAACTTTGCAACCTATTCCACATTCCACACATGTCCCCAATTACTGAAGAAGGCACTTCTTCCACTCCCTCTTCCTCCTCCTCTGAAGTAAGTTCCTCAACTGTGGTCTGATGCTGTTCCAGATGAAGCTCTTGCAGCTCTTCAGTGGTTAGCTCTTCCCTGTGGTCCTCCACCAACTCTTCCACATCCTCGCCACTCACCTCCAACCCCATGAACCTCCCCAATGCCACAATACCTTCCACAACAGGCAGAGGGTCGGCACACCCTCTCGTATTTTTGTACTATTTCTTTCTTCACTTCTATGGTGTTTCTCACTTTCTTTACCAAAGGGGCGCCACTAGGAAGTTTCTTTGGACCCATGGCAACTTATTTCACAGTCTCACTCAATAAACAGGCACCGAACACAATGAATTAATTGTGAAATGTTTGGATGAGCATGCAGGGTAATGTTCACTCCAAGATAAACAAGCAGCCAGACTGACTCATGACACCTGCGCGGGGAGGCATGCAGGCGGACAGGTCTGGTACGCGGAACGAAACACGGGGCACAGTGCGAAACTCGGGACAAAATTTAGCCGAAAAAGCGGTTCTAAACTTGAAGCGTACAATACTCAGGGCAGACAAAACTTGGGGTTCCACTGTACTACATTATTTAGGTATGAATAGTGGTCATAGAGCCTGTCGTAAGTCCGAGGCTTTGGTAAACGAGTACGTCGCTAAGTGAGGAGAGGCTGTATAGTTGTTCAGACTTCCTATTAGGTTGATAAGTACTGACGTAGTTTTTGGTTTGTTCTTTGGTTATTAAACCTGTTCTATATTTTTATTATAAATATGTATATTTATCAATGGATCTTATTATTATTACTGTATTACATTCATGGGGGAAACACTGAACCCATAGGGGCCAAACAGTACCTCAGGGAATTGAAGGCATTCAGGCTTGATTTAAGGAGTGGAACATAGATCCAATTCACTAGATCTAGAGCCCCTCACTAAGGATGCTATTTGTTAACCATAGGCTACCTAGTCTCTCTGCTGTGATTTGCATAGTTTCAATAGGATAATGTCTATTGTAAAGGCTTTGTATTTTTTTTGCAGAAAAATTTTGACCCATTCATCAATAAACTCCATGCCAGTCAATTTTACTTACTACCGTGGTGAAGTTATTTAATATTTCATCATGGAGATGAAATGAGATCATATTAGTTTTGAGTGGTAGCTTACATATGTTAGCTATGAGGAAGGTGTGGTAGTGGATTCAAGGATCTAAGTCTATCTTCATATGGGAGATTCCTTATAGAGTGAATCATTTTCATCATACTTCTCTATGTTCTCCAATGAATTTATATCCATCCTATAGTAAGGATAAGATAAGATAAAGTCATTTTCTTTGTAAAGATTATAATGTGTAATTACAATTTTGATTTGCTAAGTACAAAGATAGCCACTATCATGCCAGGGCATTTTGGGCAGACTAATCCTAATACATAGTAACTAATTAAAACTAGCAAGATAATAAGTACATAGTAACTATACTTGAAACTAGACAAGAAGTAGTTGTTAAGTTAACTGTTTTACAAATTTATTTAAACTTAATACAGGTGTGAGGTAGTAAGGTGTAGTAGGGTTTGGTAAAATAATCTTGAAATTGCTCACAAAATCTACATTACAAGTAATGGTTCAGGTGGTAATATTTTTTGGATAGGCAGAATTAAAAGTGTAGAGGTCACATAATAAAACTAATTAGCAGATGTTTTGGTCGATTTGGTTAATATTGAGAGATAAGATGATTTTTTAGCAAAGTCCTAAATTTATCAGTTGTCAGAGGATCCTTGACCTGTTCTGTTAGTGAGTTCCAGATCTTCGGGCCCTTTATGTATGTGCATAGCATTCTTGCATAATGAGAGACTGACTCGAGGGATGTTGAAAAGTGCCTTATGCCTTGTATTGTGACTGTGCATTCTGTTGTAACTGTCAAGGAGTAGCTTTAGGGGAGGGTTTACAGTGGAGTTTAATGATCTGTATATGTAGTAGGCACTGTAGTAGGTACTAGAGTATAGTGGTACCAACACTTATATGGGTGTGAAGCATGTGTTGTGAATGCTGCAGAAAGGAGGAGGCTGGAGGCAGTGATGTCAAGTTTAAGGGCAATGTGTGGTGTAAATATAATGCAAAGAATTTGTAGTATGGAAATTAGGTGCAAGTTGCAAGAAGTACAGTGGACCCCCGGCATACGATATTAATCCGTTCCTGAGAGCTCATCGTATGCCAAAATTATCATAAGGCGAATTAATTTTCCCCATAAGAAATAATGGAAATCAAATTAATCCGTGCAAGACACCCAAAAGTATGAAAAAAATTTTTTACCACATGAAATATTAAGTTTAATACACACAAACTGAAGAAGACATGCACAGTTAGTAGTACTCTACTAACAATAGAATACATGACACTTACCTTTAATGAAGATCTGGTGATGAGTGATGGGATGGGAGGAGGGGAGAGTGTTGAAGTTGTTATTGTTTAGCAGGGGAATCCCCTTCCATTAGGACTTGAGGTAGCAAGTCCTTTTCCGGGGTTACTTCCCTTCTTCTTTTAATGCCACTAGGACCAGCTTGAGAGTCACTAGACTTCTGTCGCACAACATATCTGTCCATAGAGGCCTGTACCTCTCGTTCCTTTATGACTTTTCTAAAGTGGTTCACAACACTGTCATTGTAATAGTCACCAGCGCGGCTTGCAATAGCTGTGTGAGGGTGATTTTCATCCATAAAGGTTTTCACCTTTGTCCACATTGTACACATTTCTTTAATCTTTGAAGTAGGCAACTTCTTCAATTTCTCTATCCCCTCCTCCGAAGCAGTTTCCTCAGGCCTGGCGTCTTGCTGTTGAAGATGATCTAGCAGCTCATCAGTGGTTAGTTCTTCATTGTCCTCCTCCACCAACTCTTCCACATCCTCCTCACTAACCTCCAACCCCAAGGACTTCCCCATTGCCACAATGGATTCCTCAACTGGCATACGATTCCCAGGGTTAGCCTTAAACCCTTCAAAATCCCTTTTGTCTACACATTATGGCCACAGTTTCTTCCAAGCAGAGTTCAAGGTCCTCTTAGTCACTCCCTCCCAAGCCTTACCTATAAGGTTTACACAATTGAGGATATGAAAGTGATCCTTCCAAAACTCTTTTAGGGTCAATTGAGTGTCTGTGGTCACTTCAAAGCACTTTTGAAACATAGCTTTTGTGTACAGTTTCTTGAAGTTGGAAATGACCTGCTGGTCCATGGGCTGCGGGAGAGGAGTGGTATTAGGATAAAAAACTTGACCTTAATGAAGATCATGTCCCCAGAAAGTCGCTCTGCCAAGTCTGTAGGATGACCAGGGGCATTGTCTAATACCAGGAGGCACTTAAGGACTAATTTCTTTTCAGTTAGGTAATTTTTCACATTGGGGGCAAATGTATGGTGTAACCAGTCATAGAAAAAGTCCCTAGTGACCCATGCCTTACTGTTTGCCCTCCACAGCACACAAATTAGCATTGAGGACATTGTTTTGCCTGAATGCTCTGGGAGTTTCTGAGTGATACACCAATAAAGGCTTCACTTTGCAATCACCACTAGCATTGGCACACATCAGAAGAGTAAGCCTGTCTTTCATAGGCTTATGTCCTGGGAGTGCCTTTTCCTCCTGAGTAATGTAGGTCCTGCTTGGCAATTTCTTCCAAAACAGGCCTGTTTCGTCGCAATTAAACACTTGTTCAGGTTTAAATTCTTCACTGTCTATGTAATCCTTGAATTCCTTCACATATTTTTCAGCTTCTTTTTGGTCCGAACTGGCAGCCTCACCATGCCTAATCACACTATGTATGCCACTATGATTCTTAAATCTTTCAAACCAACCTTTGCTGGCCTTAAATTCACTCACATTACCACTAGTTGCAGGCATTTTTTCAATTAAATCCTCATGCAGCTTCCTAGCCTTTTCACATATGATCGCTTGAGAGATGCTATCTCTTGCTATCTGTTTTTCATTTATCCACACCAATAACAGTCTCTCAACATCTAACACTTGCGATCTCTGTTTCGAAAACAGACATGCACCTTTTGCAAGAACAGCTTCCTTGATTGCCGTTTTCTTGGCCACTATAGTAGCGATGGTTGATTGGGGTTTGGTATACAACCTGGCCAGCTCCGACACACGCACTCCACTTTCGTACTTTGCAATTATCTCTTTCTTCATTTCCATAGTAATTAGCACCCTTTTACTCACAGGGTTGGCACTAGAAGCTTTCTTGAGGCCCATGGTGACTTATTTTGCAGAAACAAGTGCCAAAAACTCTGTGATAATATGGAATGTACCGAATGTATGCTTAGATGCGAGCACACTGGCTGGCTTGTAAACAGTGGCACGCATGGGGCAGTTCAGGCCACATGTGGACGCGTCCCGGACGAATCGCTTGTGGCGGGTTTTTTAGCGAGTGGCGAGGCAAAATTTTTGCGTTAAAATGTATCGTATACCGGATTTAACATATACCGATGCCATCGAATGCCGGGGGTCCACTGTATTATTCAGAGGGCTGAAGAAGGGTTGAGGTGGTTTGGTCATTTAGAGAGGATGGAGCAAAATAGAATGACTTGGAAGGTGTATAAATCTGTAGTGTAGGGGAGGAGGGGTAGGGGTCATCCTAGGAAAGGATGGAGGGAGGGAGGTAAAAGCAGGCGACATGTGTGAGCATGTTAGATAGAAGTGAATGGAGATGAGTGTGAGCAGGGTAATATTTTGTGAAGGGATTCAGGGAAACTAGTTAGTTAGACTTGAGTCTTGGAGGTGGGAAGTACAGTGCTTGCACTTTAAAAGAGGGGGTTTGGAATATTGGATGTTTGGAGTGACATCTGAATTGTCATGTCTGGGCACCTCTGCAAACACAGTGATTATGTGTGAATGATGGTGAAAGTGTTTCATTTTTGGGTCATCATGCCTTGGTTGGAGACAGCCAGTGTGTTAAAAAAAATTTGCACTATAATACATTAAGTGCACAGTAGAGCCAGGCATAAAATTTTTTTTATATAAGTATAGTAGTATGTTAGTAGACAGCAAGCACCATGGAAGGTACTACCATCCTGCCAAGTGAGTGTAAAACGAAAACCTGTAATTATTTTACATGATGGTAGGATTGCTGGTGTCTTTTTTCTGTCTCCTAAACATGCAAGATTTCAGGTACGTCTTGCTTCTTCTACTTACACTTAGTTTACACTACACATACATGTACACGTTTATGTGTACACACTCATCTGAGTTTTCTTTGATTTTATCTTAATAGTTTTTGTTCTTATTGCTTTTCCTTTTATATCCATGGGGAAGTGGAATAAGAATCTTTCCTCCATAAGCCACGCGTGTTGTAAAATTCAACTAAAATGCCGGGAACAACAGGCTAGTAACCCCTTTTCCCATATAGCCTACTAAAAAGAAAAAGAAGAAAACCATCAAAGTAGTGCAAAAGGAGAGCAGATGATAGAGTGGGAGAGGCACTGTCAAGAAATTTTGATGAAAATAAGAAAAAAAATTTGAAGTGAGATAAACAAGTTAAGAAAGCCTAGGGAACGAATGGATTTGTCAGTTATAAATGGAGTAGTGGAGTTAGTAGATGGGGAGCTGGAGGTATTGAGTAGATGGCAGGAATATTTTGAGGAACTTTTAAATGCCAATGAAGAAAGGGAGGCAGTAATTTCATGTACTGGCCAGGGAGGTATAGTATCTTTTAGGAGTGAAAGAGAGCAGGATGTGAGTGTGGGGAGGTGCGTGAGGCATTACGTAGAATGAAAAGGGGTAAAGCGACTGGAACTGACGGGATCATGACAGAAATATTATCAGCAGGGGGGGATATAGTGTTGGAGTGGTTGGTATTTTTGTTTAATAAATGTACGAAAGAAGGGAAGGTACTTAGGGATTGGCAGAGTGCATGTATAGTTCCTTTATATAAAGGGAAGGGGGACAAAAGAGATTGTAAAAATTATAGGGAAGGAGGTGAATGTATTCAGATATTTGGGAGTGGACGTGTCAGTGGATAGGTCTATGAAAGATGAGGTGAATCATAGAACTGATGAGGGGAAAAGGGTGAGCGGTGCACTTAGGAGTCTGTGGAGACAAAGAACTTTGTCCTTGGAAGCAAAGAGGGGAATGTATGAGAGTATAGTTTTACCAACGCTCTTATATGGGTGTGAAGCATGGGTGATGAATGTTGCAGCGAGGAGAAGGCTGGAGGCAGTGGAGATGTCATGTCTGAGAGCAATGTATGGTGTGAATATAATGCAGAGAATTCGTAGTTTGGAAGTTAGGAGGAGGTGCGGGATTGCCAAAACTGTTGTTCAGAGGGCTGAGGAAGGATTGTTGAGGTGGTTTGGACATGTAGAAAGAATGGAGTGAAACAGAATGACTTCAAGAGTGTATCAGTCTGTAGTGGAAGGAAGGCGGGGTAAGGGTCGGCCTAGGAAAGGTTGGAGGGAGGGGGTAAAGGAGGTTTTGTGTGCGAGGGGCTTGGACTTCCAGCGGGCATGCGTGAGCGTGTTTGATAGGAGTGAATGGAGACAAATGGTTTTTAATACTTGACGTGTTGTTGGAGTGTGAGCAAAGTAACATTTATGAAGGGATTCAGGGAAACCGGCAGGCCGGACTGGAGTCCTGGAGATGGGAAGTACAGTGCCTGCACTCTGAAGGAGGGGTGTTAATGTTGCAGTTTAAAAACTGTAGTGTAAAGCACCCTTCTGGCTAGATAGTGATGGAGTGAATGATGGTGAAAGTTTTTCTTTTTCGGGCCACCCTGCGTAGGTGGGAATCGGCCAGTGTGTTAGTAAAAAAAAAAAAAGTTTACTGAGTATACCAGGAAAAGCATACGGTAGGGTTATTATAGAAAGAATTAAGAGATAAGACAGGGTAGGATTGCGGATGAGTAAGGAGGCTTTAGAGTGGGTAGGGGATGTGTAGATCAAGTATTTACATTGAAGCATAAATGTGAACAGTATTTAGATAAAGGTAGGGAAGTTTTCATTACATTTATGGATTTAGAAAGGGCATATGATAGAGTGGATAGGGGAGCAATGTGGCAAGTATATGGAATAGGTAGTAAGTTATTAAATGCTGTAAAGAGTTTTTATGAGGATAGGCTCAGGTTAGGGTGTGTAGAAGAGAGGGAGACTAGTTCCCGGTAAAAGTAGGTCTTACACAGGGATGTGTAATGTCACCATGGTAGTTTAATATATTTATAGATGGGGTTGTAAAAGAAGTAAATGCTAGGGTGTTGGGGAGAGGGGTGGGATTAAATTATGGGGAACCAAATATGAAATGGGAGTTGACACAGTTACTTTTTGCTGATGATACTGTGCTTATGGGAGATTCTAAAGAAAAGTTACAAAGGTTAGTGGACGAGTTTGGGAGGGTGTATAAAGGTAGAAAGGTAAAAGTGAACATAGATAAGAGTAAGGTGATGAGTGTATCAAATGATTTAGATAAAGAAAAAATGGATATCACATTGGAGAGGAGTATGGAAGAAGTGAATATTTTCAGATGTTTGGGAGTTGATGTGTCAGCGGATGGGTTTATGAAGGATGAGGTTAATCATAGAATTGATGAAGGAAAAAAGGTGAGTGGTGCATAGAGGTATATGTGGAGACAAAAAACATTATCTATGGAGGCAAAGAAGGGAATATATGAAAGTATAGTAGTACCAACTCTCCTATATGGATGTGTAGCTTGGGCTGTAAATGCTGCAGTGAGGAGGCAGTGGAGATGTCCTTTCTAAGGGTAATGTGTGGTGTAAATATTATGCAGAAAATTCAGAGTGTGGAAATTAGAAGGTGTGAAGTTAATAAAAGTATTGGTAAGAGGGCTGAAGAGGGGTTGTTGAGGTGGTGTGGTCATTTAGAGAGAATGGATCAAAGTAGAATGACATAGAGAGGTTCCTTGAAAAGGTTGGAGGGAGGGGCTAAAGGAGGTTTTGTGGGAGAGAGGCTTGGACTTCCAGCAAGCGTGCATGAGCATGTTAGATAGGAGTGAATGGAGATGAATTGTTTTTGGGGCCTGACAAGCTGTTGGAGTGTGAGCAGGGTAATATTTATTGAAGGGATTCAGGGTAACTGGTTATTTTTACATAGCCAGACTTGAATTCTGGAAATGGGAATTACAATGCCTGCATTTTACAGGAGCGGTTTGGGATATTGACAGTTTGGAGGGATATGTTATATCTTTATACATGTATATGCTTCTAAACTGTTGTATTTGGGCACCTTTGCAAAAACAGTGATTATGTATGAGTGACATGAAAGTGTTGAATGATGATGAAAGTATTTTCTTTTTGGGTCACCCTGCCTTGGCGGGAGACGGCTGACTTGTTGGAAAAAAAAAGTATAAATAACATGAATGTACAGTAAACAAACCATACAATGAGTGGGGATAGAATCTGCGGTCAGAGAGTCATAACACTCCAGACCAACGTGTTAGCCACTGGGCTCGCCAGGTACAATAAGATTCATCCAACTAGGTATATTTATAAACCATAGGAAGATTAGTATAGGCACAGATGAATCTCCCACCAGTGTGGCCGTGATGAGCTCTAGCTCGAATCCCCTCAAAGCTATCATCATGACTCACAAATTGTGATGACACAAATGCAAACAAACCATACCAAGGGTAGGGATAGAACTCATGGTTGGTCTGGGGTTTTATGAATGACCGTGAGTTCCATTGCTGGCCGTGGTATGGTTTGTTTGCAATCGTGTCATTACGATTTTGTAAGTCATGATGAAGGCTTTGAGGGGACTCGAGCTAGAGTTCATCATGGCCACACTGGTAGGAGATTCATTTGTAAAAACTTCCATTTGTGGCCACAGTGTGCTTATGCTAACCTTCCTATGGTGTATAAATATACCTAGTTGTATTAGTGGCATGCCAAAAAGCAAGGCCTTCCTATGCTAGATAAAACCCAGTCTTGGGCAAAATGTTGTATTAAAAGAATCCTCTGCTAGTGAAGTTGTTGGAGTTAGAGCAGCAATCCTTATCAAGGCAATTAATGTTGCTCTTTAGGTTATAGTAGGAATAGAAATAAATTAGATCACCCTTTTTTGCCAAGTTCTTAATGAAACTCAGTTTTTTAACTACTGTATTTGTATGATTATCAATAAAAAAACAATTTTCTAGCAATAGATTTTATTAATTTACAATTCTGAAATGTAAATAAAATGTGCTTGAAAAGCAAAAATTCTTTGGATAGGTAGGTTCAATGTGTGCTGGAACATTATACAGTTTAGCAGGTGGGTATTGATATGAGTGAATCTGTTAGGACAATAATTTTATTTAATTTCTCAAAGGATTATGGCCAGGTGCTCCATGCACACAAGAGGTAGATTATTATTATAATCAAAAAGAAGCGCTAAGCCACAAGGACTATACAGCGCACAAGAGGTAGAATATATCACAAGCCATTAAGACACCGATGATGAAGCAAACATGTAGGACCACAAATATTATGTAAGAGCATTACTGTTTTTTTTTTTTTTTTTTTCTTGCCATATTTTATTACCAATAGTATTTAAGCACTCAACACCAGCATAATATAACCCAGTTTGCATGTATGCTTCATTACCAGTATCCTTGAGCATCTGAAAACTTATGATTCTTACACTATATTTAAACTAGCCAACTGCATAGATACGAATGTCACTTTCTTAGTTAACTCAGAATCCCTAGATTAATGCAAACTACTGTACATACAGTAAGGTAATTGAATGGCTCTCTCTCTTAAAGCACAACTATGAAAGCAAAGGGTCATCATACAGCAAAGGCCTAGCCCAGTTTTTCATAGTTAATAACAATCTATGTCTCATTCCCTACTAAATGGCTTGAAATGTGCACACCTGCACCAGAACTTATTTTCTTAATGTAAAATATAATAAAGCACATAATTTATTTTTTTGTTACATGCTCTTATGTCTGCAATTTTATGCAGTACTTAATTTTCTCATACTCTTCAAAAAAGGTACCTTAATGCCAGTGAAAAGGAGTTAACCACTCCTTAAGTAGATCAAATTTGATTGCCACCCATTCCCTATATGCTTCCCCTTCAAATGTAGGAATAAGTTCTATATTATCAAACATTTACATATCTTTTTGAACATAAGTCCCCTCAAGGAAGGTTCCTTGATGTTGGTGAGGGGCTCTTGATTTAGGGAATTGGATCTGTGCTCCAGTTCCCTGAATTAAGCCTGAATGCCTTCCACATCCCCCCCAGGCGCTGTATAATCCTCCGGGTTTAGCGCTTCCCCCTTGATTATAATAATAATAATAATTTGAACATAAGATATTACATGATTAGCAGAGATCAGAATGTTTAAAGTAAATTTTTTTATCTTAATGAGTTTCACTCCATTTACCTAAAACTATGATATAATATAGTTTGGTCATTTTACCATACCTAATGGTGCCTGTTTAATGTCAATGTTCCAGATAGTTTAACCCGTAAATGGTCCACACACATATATACGTTCACTACCCCAGTGCCCTGAATATTTTGAAAAATAAAAAAATAATTTTTTTAATGAAAATAAAGAGCACATTTTTCTAAATGTTATAGGATTAAAATAAAAAAATTAGGGTCAGTACTTACCGAGATATGAGGCTGCAAAACTGGCACTTAATGTTCACCTGACGGCAACACAGAGTCTTGCCGGTTCCAGAAGTGTTGCCGATATACCATTTTTTCTCATTTTTATATTATTTTTATGTTCTGATAATTACAATTTATTGTAGTTCTTGTCATTTCATAACCAATCTTTGTTCTGACACTAATATTAGATACTGAAATTGTACTCAAATTGTCACAAACACATTGACAGGTGGACATTTACACCTGCCTTGGTCATTTACTATTGTCTAGGAATATATACAAAGTATTTATAGGTCCCAGCAATGCTTTGGATACACGGGAGTATAGGAGGAAGAAGAAATTCCCTTGAAGCAATGTGTAAGACAAGTGTTCAGTGACAAGCATCCGGGAGGGCAGTGATAAGATCAGATATGAGATGAAATTTGATGGGCGCCAGCGAGGGTGCAGAGATAAGGGATGACATTTGATGAGCTCGTATCACTAATTGTCTGGCTGTCTTATTTCTCTTTCTGTGTCTCTGTCTCAGAAAGAGCCACTGTGAACCAACAGGTATTCTTGTGCATTATATCTACAAGCACTTTGGATTTTTTTAGGTTATCCTAGGTAATTTACACTATGTATAATTATATTTGTGTGTACCTGTGAGACAGACAAAGACAGACCCTAAACTTGGGGTTAACATCACTTTCCTCTTAAAAGGGGAATGTTAATATGGCATTACATCAGTGAATCTTTGGTGTTTGCCCCACTGTTTGCTCTAGCTGGCACTCAATATAACTGGCACTCCCACAAGGTACTAAGTGTTCCCAGATTTTTTAATATGGTGCACACCGAGTGTTAAGAAACATTCTATGTTGACCAGGCATCTCAGACCAATCGTGCCAAATTTGGAGGCAGGAAAAATAAAACGTATATTTATGTTTGGGGCGCTAGCGGTAAGAACGTATATATACGTTTGGACCGTTTATGGGTTAAGTTTCATACTAAATGTATTTTTTACAACCCAATAAATTTAATTTTCTGTCCAACTGTTTAGATACAACATTTATATTATTATTATAATCAAAAAGAAGCGCTAAGCCACAAGGGCTAAACAGCGCTGCTGCAACATTTATAACCTCACTGAACTGAATGCATAATTACATTGAGTGTCGCGACCCCTGCTTGCAAAACTTGCTTCCAGGGTCAGGTTAAAAAAAAATGAAATGACAATCTTTTTCTGAAGGTAAAGAAACCAAAAGTGTGAAATTTGATGGGAAACTTACGGAATTGTGCTCACGGCAATACGCATCGGCAATTTTGCCTGAGTTGAGCCCTATTTTCAGTTAATTCCCCTCAAGGAAGGTTCCTTGATGTTGGTGAGGGGCTCTTGATTTAGGGAATTGGATCTGTGCTCCAGTTCCCCGAATTAAGCCTGAATGCCTTCCACATCCCCCCCCCTCCCAGGCGCTGTATAATCCTCTGGGTTTAGCGCTTCCCCCTTGATTATAATAATAATTTCAGTTAATTCCATTGTTCCAGTCACCCAAACTCAGAGCTATTTCTCTAGTATTCCTTCTATTCCATTGAATGAGTACAAGAAACTATCCATTTACCTATTTCAATTACCTAGTAAAATGATCGTAAATCGGTAATTTGGCCAATTTCACACAAAATTCAACAATTTCCAATTTGAAAACAGTCAAAAATAAACAATGTAGATATTCCTGGCACTAAGTAAACATTTCCTCTCCTTGTTAGTCACATCTCCAGGTCCCCTTTATATTATGCTTGTTTTTCATTCACACAAAAAATAGAAAATTTACTTTTATGCAGACTGACTACTGCATTATTGTAATAATTGTATAAATAATGTCAGTGCATTTCTAAATGCATATTAGACTGGCCAGTTGGACACGACATTTGTACATTCCGGAATATCGGCAAAAATTGAACATCCCTACCTTGAGCTCAATTTCAAGCTACTTTCAGTCCAGAAACTAATCAAAATTATCTCTATTTCTGTAATATATCATCCATTCTATCAAATGAGACCAAGAAACCGAGACTTCAGCCATGAAAACCATATGAAAATACACAGCCAAGTTGCTGTTGTAAACCAAAGACACGATCGCAGTTTTTTTCTCGTGCTCTGCGTGCTGAAGGATTTTTTTTTATATAGTGCACACTTACAACAGACCCATTCTCTCATATCTAGGCCCAAATTTAAAGCTCAGCTAATCTGAGTGAGCAGAGTTCATGGCGTCGTACTACCTGACAAACACTGGCTTCAAAGCTGTGATACAACAGAACTGACACTGAAAGGATAATTATGTGCTACAGAAGCCATCTTGATACTTTAATTAGTTACATGAGATTCACTTAATATGCATTTTCTGTTTATTTAGCAATAACCAGTAAAAATGTCTTCCTTTCGTATGCTTATAAGAAATATACTTTAAAAACAAATCAGATGGAGAACTATTCAATATCCCTATAGATATTATTAAAGGCTACAATATCTTTAGTTCTGCTTTTTCATAAATCTAAGCCCAAATTTAGAAAATATACATGTATATGGGGAGGATAGCGGGAGCTAGACTGACCCTACCTTAACAAGCAGCCGGCAATCAAACTATCGTTACCACATACTCGCTCGCTACTCCTATCTGTTGAACTTTTCCCTCACACTAGCATATCGCAATATAAATGTCACCTCAAAAGTTGTGCCTCGATGCTGGTGAAGGACTTTCGATTCAAGAACCTAACCTACCTTGGATTGAACCTAATAGTTTCCCATGGCACTGTATAAATGTTCTATTCAAAAGTAATGTCTTGAAGCTGGTGAAGGACTTCATTACTAGAATTGGAGGAACCCTCTAATTACTTTGATCAAACCTGATCACCACACAGTCCTAATCTCGTAGGTTTAGTGCTTCCCCATCAACATAATATAGGATCCTTACGATTTTGGGCTCTCACTTGCTTGTAATAATGCAACATAAATAGAGCCAATTTCCATGGGGAAGTTGAACATAATTCTTCCTCCGTAAACTATGCCTGTCATAAGAGGCGACTAAAATGCCGGGCACAAGGGACTAGTAACCCCTTCTCCTGTATACATTATTAAATTTAAAGAGAAATTCATTTTAGGTCACCCTGCCTCAGTGGGATACAGCAGGTTTGTAGAGAGAAGCTAGGTAGTAAATATATTTTTAAAATGCACTTATCTGCTGGTTTCTGTATGATCCATGTGAATATTAGTTTGAGATTGGTCAAGAAAATGATTTCCAACATTTAATTTGAATGCCCTATTTTTTCTTCATCTTTTTAATTCATTTTTTTTCGAACAAGTTCCTTCATGCACATGGGCTGGAGTTACATATATTTAGTACAAGTTTATCAATTATTATAATCAAAAGAAGTGCTAAGCCACAAGGGCTATACAGCACAAATTTATCAAGATATGGGAGTTTAGCACTTAGTTTTGATTATAACTAATTATCAAGATATAGAATTTTTTTTAATCTAGATTTTTTCTTAATGATTTTTGGATTAAATATATTACTGATATAAAAATAGCCACAATTATATATTCTGAGCTGTATAGCCCTTGTGGCTTAGCACTTCTTTTTGATTATAATAATAATATATATTCTGAAAACTAGCTAATAATAGTTTTCCCCTCCAAAAAATTTAGATTGTAGGGAATACACTGTGCCTCTTTTTTTTTATTGGACAAGAGTAATCACTGTAGTATCATTAAAAATCATTTACAGAACTATATTTCTTAGTCATTATACCACTGTAATTAAAATAATAGTTTATAGGTACAGTATATGTATGGTCTTTAACCCTTTGACTGTTTACGCTGTATAAATACGTCTTAAGCGCCACTGTTTCTGAAGTATTTATACGCATAAATTCTAGGGGCTTCAAATCAAGCAGGAGAAAGCTGGTAGGCCCACATGTGAGAGAATGGGTCTCCATGGTCAGTGTGCACCATATGAAAAAAATCGGGGAGCCAGTGGTGCATTGTGGGAATGCCATTTCAGTCCTCCTTTTTCAGCATGCTTAGGGGTAAGAAATATGTGACTCCCCAGCAAATCTGGGACTCTTCTCTTCCCAAGTGATGTTCTAACACAGATGGAAGTGTCAGTGAAGATCAATTTCATGATTTCCAGGAGTTTGAGACCAAAAGCAATGGAGGAGGAGGATGATGATGTAATAATATTGTTCCCTTGAAGCAAGAAAAAAAAAAGTCCACCCCATGACAGTGACAAGATAAGGGTAGATAACATCTGACGTTTGATGAGCGTAAACGAGGGTGCAGCTGATAAGAAAAGATTGATGACCATCGCCCTCACTTTGTTTTTGCTGGTGCACAAACATTTCTGTATCTCTCTGTCTCAGAGAGAGCCACAAGACTGTGTCATCACCTTTACTCACATCTTCAAGCCAAGTATAGCACTTTGTCTGGATTTTTTGGGTTATCCTAGGTAATTTACACTATGTATACTTGTATTTATGTGTACCTGTGAGACAGACAGATAGAGATAGAATGGAGGGGAAGCAGCATCCGACCCCATTGTTTTGACAGCTGCCAACTGCTGACTCAAAACAATTATAAGCCACACACTCGCACACAAGACAAGCTTGCTGAATGAAGATAATAGCAGTTATATGAAAATATCTAGTGACTATATATGTGTATATATATTATAGAAAGCAGAAGGAAGGAATGATGACACATGACCATTTACCTAGGATAACTACATAACACAACTGCCTGCTAATACTTTGAAGAAAACTGCTCAGAGGTGTTGTTTTGTTTTTGCACATAAAAAAAAAAAAGTCCACAAAAATGCACACACTGGTTTTGTGTGTGAAGTGTAAAACACCATTGTGTATGAAAACATGTTTCAAAGAGTTCCACAAGCTGCAGAACTTCTAGGAATATGTTCGGTGACTGTACATTGGTATATGTATTATAGAACAATAGTAATAAAATTTTTTTTATATTTGTTTTTGTAAACAAGATAGATAATTATGTTTGTGCTTATTGTGTTGTATACAACGAGTGTATATATGTACATTGCACCTTACTTTGGTCTCACAGGCCACATAAGTTATGTGAAAAAATAAAAGTGAAAAAAAAAAAAAAAAACTTCAAATACAAGTAAACCAAAGTTTACCGGGTGAGCGGCAGTCACCACTGTTGCCATACGCGGCTCATTTTCTGCAAACTTCACGCCTCTATATTTTGGTAAGTACTGATGGCAAAGAATTTTTTTTGGACTAAAACACTCAAAAAAATAATCAACATTTTCACGTGCTGTTGGAGTGTGAGCAAAGTAACATTTATGAAGGGATTCAGGGAAAGCGGCAGGCCGGACTTGAGTCCTGGAGATGGGAAGTACAGTACCTGCACTCTGAAGGAGGGGTGTTAATGTTGCAGTTTAAAAACTGTAGTGTAAAGCACCCTTCTGGCAAGACAGTGATGGAGTGAATGATGGTGAAAGTTTTTCTTTTTCGGGCCACCCTGCCTTGGTGGGAATCGGCCGGTGTGATAATAAAAAAAAAAAAAAATTTTCATGAGAAAAAAATAATTATTTTTTTCGATTTTGCAACATAGAATGACAGTTTCAGAAAGGGGCCTGCGACAGTCAAAGGGTTAATCCATGAACTGGATATTCAGTACACTGTTAATATGTATGGAATGACAGATCAGTGACCATGTCCAGTGTAGACTATTTAAAACAATACTAATTACATTGGTAATTATCCTCATTAACAATTGTTAAATAATATATATGTGGAAAATAATACAGTAGTTAAATTTAAGTCATTAAAATGTATAAAAAAATAATAGATACATATTTAGACAACAGATCAGTATATGTGATCAAAGCACAGCCTTGTATTCTTGTCCTCTAAATTCAAAGGTTTTACATATCATTTACCAATCCAAGGCATATATTCAATCAAACTCTTAGTTTCATTATAAGTTCATATTCATTCACACTCATTATCAAGACACTAGGCTTATATATTCATTCACACTCATCAGACACATTGTAAAACCAGGATTACATTCAGTCATACCTTATTAAGAAACATATTCAGTCGCACTTATCAAGAAATTAGACCTAAATTCAGCCACTTATTATGAAACTGAGTCTTTACTGGTATGTTTTATCACAAATTGGCTTCATCAGCACATAAAATATAACAGAAATACACATCTTGTTTAGTATACTCAGGGTGGATGATCATGTGGCGAGTGGGTGAAGCCCACAAGATCAGAGTAGGAAAGAACCTTGAATTTCTTATTCAACACTGACTTTACGCACCTCACCCACCCAGCATGGGACTACCTGGTCTGAATGTGCTATAAAAGATGTAATTTTCTGTTATACTTTATGTACTTGATAAAGCATATTTGGGGTGAAACACCGTACCCATAAAGATTCCTGTGCCATCACTGTTTTACAATATTGTCAGCACTAGGCCATTTCTCTGAAAACTAGGTCTATATTCAGTCACACTTATCAACAAACTAGACCTCTGTTCAATCACACTTATCAAAAAACTAGGCCTATATTCATACTTATGAAACTAGGCTTAATTCAATAACACTTATCACAAAAATTATACAAGGCGTTTTTCATTTTTATTCACTCGTCAAGATACCACTGAAAGATGTAGGCTTGCAGTGGCTACACTGACAGTGATCACCATTACACTCAACTTTGTCCATGCAGTGGCTAGATGTTGTGGCAATGTTTTGTGTCCCATTTAAAGAAGCTGGTTTACCAAAGTCACTTTCACTTGCAAGGGGAGCTGCCATTTCACTAAAGTTGGCCATGCCACCAGTAGACTGAAGACACACACTAGTGCTGCTTTTTGTGATTACTGCACCTTCTGCCTGTGAAGCATTCATCATTTCTTCTTCAGCTTCTCTTTCTTCACAGAGAAAAATGCTCTCTTTCTTCACCTTAGTGTTATACTCATCAATCCTGGAAATATTTTTTTTCTTTGAATATTCTACATAACTTCATTATAACATATGTTTGACAATATAGCTCACAAGGAAACATGATAATCCAAGCTTTCCCTTCTCTCTCAAGATATTCCTGAAGATAAATTGAAATAAATATCCTGAAGATGTTTTCCTCTTTCCTTATGGGAATTTATAAAATATATTTAGTATATTGAAACATGAATTCTAGCTGCTTTTTTTACTTTTACAATTTACAAATAAATGTGAGCACTCTTTAAATGAATAAAATAAATACACAAAGTATCATGGTATTTCATCTGGAAAAAAAAAAAGATAAAATGATTTATTTAAAAATATGTTAGGGTATGTAGGGTAAAAGTAGGCCTTAGACAGGGATGTGTGATGTCACCATGGGCGCTTAACATATAGATAATAATAATACTAATACATGGTATACAAGCCTAGCTGATATCAATGATATACTACTACAGTGGAACCTTGGTTTTCATTTGCCCTGGTTTTCGTTGAATTCGGTTTTCGACAACATTTTTCATAAAAATTTTGTCCCAGTTTTCATTCATCACCTCTGTTTTCGTCGGTCTGCCGTACTGAACGTGTCCGCCTGCCCATGCCCACACAAAGCATCCTACGTGTTCTAAGTCAAGTCTGGCTTTGTTTCTCGTCGAGTGAGCATTACCATGTGAGTTCATATGAAACATTTCGTAATAATCCATTGTTTTTTGTGCTTGTTTATTGAGTGCGACTGCTAAATAAGCCACCATGGGGCCAAAGAAAGTTCCGAGTGCCAGCCCTTTGATAAAGAAGGCAAAAAACACGATAGAATTCAATTGTGGCCAGAATATGTCCAAGAGAAGGATTTTGAAGGGTTTGAGGCTGACCCTGACACCCCTATGCCTATTGTGGGTTAGGGGAAGTCCATGGGGTTGGATGTGAGTGACCAGGATGTGGAAGAGTTGGTGGATGACCACAGGGAAGAGCTAACCACCGAAGAGCTGCAATCCTTTCAACTGGAACAGCAACAGATCGCAGCTGAGGAAATTGCTTCAGAGGAGGAGGAAGAGAGAGGGGAGAATGTACCTTCTTCAGTGATTAAGGACATGTATGCAAAGCAGAGCGAGTTGCAAAGTTTTGTGGAGAAATATCACCCTAACAAAGCTGTTGCAAGCCATGTCTGCAACATGTTAAATGACAATGCCTTGTCCCAGTTTAAGCAAATCTTAGAGATGCCAGAAACAGACCTCTCTGGATAGATTTTTTGTGCAACAGGGGTCCAGTGCCAGTAAAAGACAAAGACAGGAAGTAACCTTGGACAGGGACTTGATACCTGAAGTCCTTATGGAGGGGGATTCCCCTTTCAACCAATAACCTCTCCTCCTCCCTCTCCCCTCCTCACATCTTCCATACACCAACAAGTCTTCAATAAAGGTAAAAGTGATATTAAATGTTCGTTTATCCATTTCACTAGTCCTTTATATTTATTTTTCATTGTTTTCTGTATGTAAAACTATAGTTATTCTCTATGAAATGTATTTTTTGTTAATACTTTTGGGTGTCTGGAATGGATTAATTGGATTTACATTATTTCTTATGGGAAATGTTGCTTCAGTTTTCATTGAATTCGGTTTTGTTTGACTTTCTGGAATGAATTAATGATGAAAACCAAGGTTCCACTGTATATAGAAAGCCACTTGTTATACCTGGAGTGGGTTTTGTGGGTCAACACCCACGTGGCTCGGTCTGTGACCAGGCCTCATGCAGAGCATTTCGGGCAAATTAGGTCAGTTTTGTCCCAAGATGCAACCCACACCAGTTGACTAACTCCCAGGTACCCATTTTACTGATGGGTGAATATAGACAACCTGTGTAAAGAAACTTGCCCAATGTTTCTACCCTTGCTGGGAATCGAACCCAGAGATTTAGCCACCAGGCTGAATACAGAAAAAACCTAAGGTGATGAAAATAACAAAAAGTTTAGGTAATGAAAGACTGGACATCAGATTGGAAGGTGGAATGGAGGAACTGAATGTGTATACATTGGGAGTGGACATATTTGCAGGTGGGTCTATGAAAGATGAGGGAAACCACAGAAGAGATGGGGGCAAAAAGATAGTGGTGTGTTAGGGCATCTGCAGAGAGAGATTTATCTATGGAGGCAAAAAGAGGAAAATACCAGAGTGTAGAGGTACCAACCATTTTATATAGGTGTGAGGCATGGGGCTTTAAGTGTTGCAGCAAGGATGAGGCTGGAGGCAGTAGAAATGCCATGTTTGAGAGCAATATGTGGGGTGAATATTATGCAGAGAATTCAGTGTTGAAATTACAAGTGGAGGGTTATAAAAGTATGATTCAGAAGGCTAAGGTAATCTTGATGTGGTTTGGGATTTAAAGAGGATGTGCAGGACAAGTGTATAATTCTAAAGTGGAATGAAGTGTAGAGGTCATCCCAGGAAGGGTTGGAGAGAGGGGTGTGTGTAAAAAAAAAAATATGAGTAATGGGGCTTGAGCATCCAGCAGGACTGTCTGAGCACATTAGATTGGAGTGAATGGAAATGAATGTTTTTATGGCCTGACGTGCTGTTGGAGTATGAGCCAAGTAACATCAAGGGATTCAAAGTAAACCAGTTTCACAGATCTGAGTCCTGCAGGTGAAAAGTACAATGCATGCACTCTGAAGGAAGGGGGAAAGGATGTTTCAATTTGGAGGGTCATTTGAATTGTGATGTTTGAGTACTTTCTGGCAAGACAGCTATCTGAATGAGTGATAATAAATGTGTTGCATGTTTTGGGTTGCCCTACTCCCATTGAGAGATGGCTGGTGTTAAAAAAAAAACATACTGTTTCTTTAAACATTTTTTTTTTTTCAAGTTTTGAGGGCCAAAATGAAGTTTCTAATTATTTGCAGAATCAGATTTTAAACTTAAGTGCACTTCACTGTGGTAGGACAAAAACAAGAAGTAATGCCTTACTTGTCATAGATAATGCCATGAAGCCCAGCCTTCTTGAGGAACTTTATATTCTCCTGGTCATTATTGTCATCACCCCAGCAAAACACAATCAAGTTGTTATCTAATGCTATTTTCATCTGGGTATGGTCACGCATCAAGTCTTCAGTGTGAACGTTAATACCCTGGGAAGAATAGAAAGCATGTCATTCAACATGTTTTGGAAATACAGTAAACTCTCAATATAACAGGGTAATAGTGGCATTGTCCAAGTGTCTGTTAAATCAGAATGTTAAAATTAGCAATAAAAAGCACTAAAGTACTCTGCTGTATACCTAATATAACACAGTATGAACAGTTTACAGATATACTGAAATTAACATTGAAAATACAAGAGTTAAAAGTACAATTTACCCAGTGGATTTGTAAGCATGTTATATAGGGTCTGTTATATCAAGGGTTTACTGTATTTTAATGCATGTTTTTAAAAACTTCACATTTAAAAATCTTACTGAAAGAAAAATCACAGTCCACAGCCACAAGGAAACTTAAGATGTTTGAAAGAAAAATCAAAACCCCCATCAATGAAAAACATTTTATCAGTGTTATTATTGTGACCAGAAGCTTCCCAACACATGAAGCCAATACAGCCTCTCCTCACTTAATGAGGGAGTCTGTTCCTGACACCACGTCGTTAAACGAATTCGTTGCTAAGCGAGGAGCATACCATAATGGTAGCGAGTTTGTGTCAACCATCTTTGATATTGTTTTAATGTCATCTTTGCACATTTAAAACATTTCTGCTATATTTTTAAATGTTTATACAGTTGTGTACTGTATACTTAAATAAACAGAACAGAGGAAATCAGCTCTAATATACATTATTTAGGTATGAATACTGGTTGGTCAGAGAGCCTGTCCTAAGTCCGAGGTATCGGTAAATGAGTGTATCGCTAAGTGAGGCGAGGCTGTATTGCTTCCTGACCACACTGAGTCTTCAAACACTGTTCTTAACACTATTAAACAACATAGCAAATAATGAGCACAAAAAATACACACTCAAGTGACAATCAAAAACTTATACTTAATGTAGAGAAGGCCTAATGAGTATCCGAAGTGGTCTGGGCAAAGGATGTTTCTGATAATAAAGTTTTAGAGATAAAATCATACACATTCCACTCAAAAAGCTTGGAGGATTCATCCAAACAAAAAAAAAAAAAAAAACATGTAATAAAGTTGGTAGAATTACCGACAATATGTAAAGTAAAAGGACACAAGTGCAACTAATGTGACATTTTATTGTGGCAACGTTTCACTCTCCAGGAGCTTTATCAAGCCATTACAAACAATACATGGACACAGAGGGTATATATAGGCTCAGAGTGAGGTGCAATACTAGTGGTAGTAGTAGTAGTGACAAAAGTTGTAGTGGTAGTAGTAATACAATATGGTAGAGCAATTAATTCGTACATGAGTAATGGCTTGATAAAGCTCCTGGAGAGCAAAACGTTGCCACAATAAAATGTCACATTAGTTGCACTTGTGTCCTTTTACTTTACATACAAAAAAAAACATGCATTGTAAACCAAGTTTTATATAGTAAATGGAAGAAAGGTCCTACAACTATTTGTGTTGTACACAGTGTTTATCCTAAACCTTACAGTATAAAATACAGTGCTAACAGCATAAAAAGTAAAGTAAAACATGAAATACCAAAATAAAACAATAAAGTAAAGTCATTACAAAATGTGATGTTGATATTCTGTAGTAAAGTTCGACTTACGACCATTTCGACTTACGACCGGTTTCTCGGAACCGAACTCGGTCGTAAGTCGTATGGTAGGTGTATTTACAAAGTGCTTTGCAAGAAACAAAATATGATAATAGAACATATACAGTGGGCCCCCCGCCTAACGTTGGCATCACATAACGTTAAATCCGCCAAGCGTTACATTTTATTGCTAAAATTTTGCCTCGCATAGCGATAAAAAACTCGCTCAACGCGATTTGTCCGAGACGCGTCTATGTGCGGCCTGAGCCAGCCTCACATGTTCCGCCGGTGGCATTGTTTACAAGCCAGCCTCCGCGGTAACATCCAAGCATACAATTGGAACATTTCGTATTATTACAGCATTTTTAGTGATTTCACCTGAAAAATAAGTGACCATGGGCCCCAAGAAAGCTTCTAGTGCCAACCCTACAGGAATAAGGGTGAGAATTACTATGGAGATGAAGAAAGAGGTCATTGCTAAGTATGAAAGTGGAGTACGTGTCTCCGAGCTGGCCAGGTTGTATAGTAAACCCCAATCAACCATCGCTACTATTGTGTCCAAGAAAATGGCAATCAAGGAAGCTGTTCTTGCCAAAGGTGCAACTTTGTTTTCGAAACAGAGATCGCAAGTGATAAAAGATGTTGAGACTTCGGTGTGGATAAACGAAAAACAGATAGCAGGAGATAGCATCTCTCAAGTGATCATAAGTGAAAAGGTTAGGAAGTTGCATCAGGATTTAATTAGATAAATGCCTGCAACTAGTGATGATGTGAGCGAATTTAAGGCCAGCAAAGGTTGGTTTGAGAGATTTAAGAAGCGTAGTGGCATACATAGTGTGATAAGGCATGGTGAGGCTGCCAGTTCGGACCACAAAGCAGCTGAAAAATATGTGCAGGAATTCAAGGAGTACATAGACAGTGAAGGACTGAAACCTGAACAAGTGTTTAATTGTGACGAAACAGGCCTGTTTTGGAAGAAATGCCAAGCAGGACCTACATTACTCAGGAGGAAAAGGCACTTCCAGGACATAAGCCTATGAAAGACAGGCTTACTCTGTTAATGTGTGCCAATGCTAGTGGTGATTGCAAAGTGAAGCCTTTATTAGTGTATCACTCTGAAACTCCCAGAGCGTTCAGGCAAAAGAATATCCTCAAGGCTAATTTGTGTGTGCTGTGGAGGGCAAACAGTAAGGCATGGGTCACTAGGGACTTTTTCTATGACTGGATACACCAAGCATTTGCCCCCACTGTGAAAAATTACCTAATTGAAAAGAAATTAGACCTTAAGTGCCTCCTGGTGTTAGACAATGCCCCTGGTCATCCTACAGACTTGGCAGAGCGACTTTGTGGGGACATGAGCTTCATTAAGGTCAAGTTTTTGCCTCCTAATACCACTCCTCTCCTGCAGCCCATGGACCAGCAGGTCATTTCAAACTTCAAAAAACTGTACACAAAAGCTCTGTTTGAAAGGTGCTTTGTAGTGACCTCAGAAACTCAATTGACTCTAAGAGAGTTTTGGAGAGATCACTTTAATATCCTCAATTGTGTAAACCTTATAGGTAAGGCTTGGGAGGGAGTCACTAAGAGGACCTTGAACTCTGCTTGGAAGAAACTGTGGCCAGAATGTGTAGACAAAAGGGATTTTGAAGGATTTGAGGCTAGCCCTGAGAGGCATATGCCAGTTGAGGAATGAATTGTAGCATTGGGGAAGTCCTTGGGGTTGGAGGTTAGTGGGGAGGATGTGGAAGAGTTGGTGGAGGAGGACAATGAAGAACTAACCACTGATGAGCTGCTAGATCAACTTCAACAGCAAGAGGCCACACCTGAGGAAAATGCTTCGGAGGAGGGTAGAGAGAAATTGAAGAAGTTGCCTACTTCAAAGAATAAGGAAATCTGTGCAAAGTGGCTTGAAGTGCAAACCTTTATGGATGAAAATCACCCTCAGACAGCTGTTGCAAGCCGTGTTGGCAACCTGTACACTGACAGTGTTGTGAACCACTTTAGGAAAGTCATAAAGGAACGAGAGGTACAGACCTCAATGGACAGATATGTTGTGCGACAGAAGTCCAGTGACTCTGAAGCTGGTCCTAGTGGCATTAAAAGAAGAAGGGAAGTAACCCCGGAAAAGGACTTGACACCTCAAGCCCTAATGGAAGGGGATTCCCCTTCTAAACACTAAGACCATCAACATTCTCCCCTCCTCCCATCCCATCAATCATCACCAGATCTTCAATAAAGGTAAGTGTCATGTAACTGTGCATGTCTTCTTCAGTTTGTGTGTATTAAAATTAATATTAGTTGTGGTAAAAAAATTTTTTTTGTTCATACTTTGGGGGTGTCAGGAACAGATTAATTTGATCTCCATTATTTCTTATGGGGAAAATTCATTCGCCTAACGATAATTTCGCCTAACATTGAGCTCTCGGGAACGGATTAATAGAGTTATGCGAGGGTCCACTGTAAATATAAGATTACTCATTACATTACATTACATAAGATGGACACTTTTATAAATGGACTAAGTCTTCATCATCAGGTATTTGTCCATTAATGTTACTATCATGGAAAATAAATTTCATAATTTTAATTCAATAGACTTTTGGTTACCCCTGGATACCCCTCTTCCCTCATATTGGTCCCATACAACAAGGGTTCACTTATCTTTTCAGTACTTTGGGTTATTACAACATTTTTAAGTATGAAAAAATATGAAGAACTCCAAGACTATCAACAAATCATTAGACCTCTTATTACACTAGTAATGGAGTATGTAACAAGGGATGTGCTGGCACTCTCATAATCAGTTGTGACTAAGGTTGAGATTCAGACATGGGTAAATACTAGGTATGTGACAAAATATTGGTATTGGTGGGTATCGATGCCATCAAGGCATTGATCATCGTCTAGAGTTGAGTATTGGTATGGGCAAAATATTTAGTACCATCATATCCTTAGTAGATACACGAGTCTCATGACACTAGTGGACTTTTGTTGGCAAATCTTATTCTACAGCCATTGGTTCATAAAGGCAGCAATAGTATATACTGGCTCAGGTTTTCTCAGTCTCCATTTGAGAGGTGCTGAGTCTTTGCATAAGATTTGACATGTCCATCTTTCCACTGGGGTACCCATACACTGTCCATACATTTCACTCTCAGGAATATTCTGTAGGCAAAACAACAGTCATCTTGACCAGATATCAACAATGAGTTTTTTTTTTTTTTTAGACTGCTTTATTCATTTCACTCTTGCTGTTTCTTGCATTCCCATCCTACGAACTTCTCATTATTTTATCTACAATATCTCAAAATATAATACCTGTTAGAAGTCTATGAAGAGTTCAGTGATCTAATTAGAATTTAATGTATGGTCCTGGCAACAGTTATAGCATATCTCTGTACGTATGTAACTTGGGTTTTGTTTGCCCAGTTAGCCTTCCATTTTTTCTCTTTTCAAAGTATTGCACTGTACCTGTCCTTCCTTGGTGCAGTAGAGGATCTGGCAGTACCTCCACAGTACATGGGTCCCAGAAGCACACCCATGGTGCACAGGTAACAACCCATGGTTGTTTGATTGGTTTATTAACCCCTTCAGGGTCCAAGGCCCAAATCTGAAGTGGGTGCCCCAGTGTCCAAGAATTTTCAAAAAGAAAATTTGTTATTTTTTCTTATGAAATAGTAGAGAATCTTTTTGTGAAGGTAATAAAACAAAAAGTACGAAATTTGATGGAAAACTGACGAAATTATGCTCTTGCGAATTTTGATGTGTCAGCGATATTTACGAATCGGCGATTTTGCCGACTTTGACTCCCATTTTAGGCCAATTACATTATTCCAGTCAACCAAATTCTTAGCTATTTCACTAGTATTACTTCTATTCTATCGATTGAGCACAAGAAATCGCCAAGTCAACTGTTTCAACTACAAATTAAAGTGATCGGAAATTGTTAATTTGGCCAATTTAACACAAAGTTCAAAATATTCCAATTTCAAAATAGGGTCCAGAATAAACAATGTAGGTATTCCTGGAACTAAACTAACATTTTTTCTGTTCATTAGTTACGTTTTGAGGCTTTACAAATAAATTCCATTTTGATTTTTTATTCACATAATGAATTTTTATTCACACCAAAAAATAGAAGATTTACTGTTATGCAATACTGTAATAATTGTATAAATATCATCACCATATTTGTGAATGCATATTAGACCCACCAGCTGGCGTGTATTAGACGTGTGAGGTCGTTTGTTTACTCTTGAATATCGGCAAAAATTTAACATTTCTGCTACCTTGAGCTCAGTTTCAAGCCATTTCCAGTGCTAAAACCAATCAAAATCATCTCTATTTCTGTAATATGTCTTCCATTCTATCAAATGAGACCAAGAAATCGCAAATAGAACTATAAAAAACATACGAAAAAACACTGCAAAGTCGCTGTTTTAATCGAAAAATCATGATTTCAGTTTTTTTCTCTCATTATACACAGCGTGCTGCAGGATCTGTTTTATGTGGTGCACACATACCACATAGATGTATTCTCTCATATCTAGGCCCAAATGTACCACTCACAGTTTATCAGAGTGAGCTGAGCTCATGACGTAGATCTACGGTTTGGACCCTGAACGTAAAGCCGTAGATCTATGGGACGGACCCTCAAAGGGTTAAATTTATGAGGCCTATTACTACACGAGAGTCATTTCAAGCTTCATGTCAGCTGTGCACATGTCTACAATACTTTAATCCTAAATATAGGTATTAAAGTAAGTGCATATGTCCTTAGTTATACACCCTTTATATGTATACACTGCCGATCTTGGTATTTACACATCAAGAGATACAGCAAATCCACTTACAGAAGCCACATTACATAGTATCATTTTGTGTAAATGTGATTAAACAAGTGTATCCAAAATTTTGCAGAATGCGAAAAAAAAACCTTGATAATACTCACAGTAACTGAAATATTAAGCAACATGTGAAATGTGGGATTTCCTCAAATCTGCTAGCAGTGGCCACAGCCTCTCATTGTTGTTGCTAAGTGTCAGCATGTCATGGTTACAAGACAGCACTGTTTACAGTAACTAGTAATTTTTTATGACTTATGAATACTTAATTTATAAAAAAAAAAAAACCCACAAGTATTAGTATTAAAAGTTTGCAGAGAATATTTAGTGTCTCAATAACAAGAATCTGTGAAAATTCACCAGAAGACTATTCAGATTATTAACACTGAAGGTTAGTATTCCAGCACATATACGGAGTACAGTGGACCCCCGCTTAACGATCACCTCCAAATGCGACCAATTATGTAAGTGTATTTATGTAAGTGCGTTTGTACGTGTATGTTTGGGGGTCTGAAATGGACTAATCTACTTCACAATATTCCTTATGGGAAAAAATTCGGTCAGTACTGGCACCTGAACATACTACTGGAATGAAAAAGTTCGTTAACCGGGGGTCCACTGTACATTACCATAATTGCACTTAATTATGCATTCCTGTTTTTTCACAGTGATTTATCTACTTGAGCTGGATTTCTACATTTCCTGAATGAGTTTGGCGAGTGATAACAGGGTGAATAAGTGTTTAAAAAAGAAAACTGTAGTAGAGGTACAGTGTACATCCTCATTCAGGTTCTGCCAAGATATCAGTTAATTGCCCTAACTTGCAATATATTCTATACTCTCGACCAATGATTCTCAACCAGGGGTAAATTTATCCCTTGGAGGTAAAAAATTACATGGCAAGGGGTAAATATTTTTGTGCAAAACTTGAATAATTTATTTTTTTTCTGACCTTCTTGTTTTTCTGTCCCTTTATAATGATGATAATTTTTTTTTATGGAAGGGGGTAAATGGAGAAATACATCAAGCCAAGGGAGTTAATGATGGAGGAAAAGTTGAGAATTCCTGCTCTAGACTCTAGGTGTGAAGAATCTCTACACCATGCTAGGTAAAGAAAAATGGTGCTTATTTTAGTGATAGGATGATACCAAACCTCTTGCAGTTACTGATATCAGCAAAAGTAACCAATATCATCAAAATCAGCTGATACCACTAATACAGATACTCAAATTTAAGCCAATAATGATACTTTAAAACAGCCCTAGTTTATTTGGCTTAAAAAATGAGAAAGATGTATAGTGAAGTGTCCTGCCAGCTGCTACCTCTTGTTATATTATAAACATGGAAGTAATATTTTGAGAAAGGTGTAAGCTTGCTATTTTCCAGCTGACTGACTGGTCCAGCCAAAGCTTGTGATGATGAGTACTTACTCCTCATCCACTAAACATGATATCAGTCCCTTTATACAGAGATCATACAAATTGAAGCTAATAGAGACAATTCAGATATGTAGTTAAGAGTCAGCTATGTAAATCTGTGAGCACTAAAAAACCATCAACTGGTCAAGATGGGAGTTGTGCAAAGGATTTTTTTTTTAATTAAACATAAACTAGATAAATCAGCACTATTGTGCTACCCTATTCAAAGCTAACTATGTTTCCCTGTCACATTCCATCATGCAGGATGGAATGTTACAAGGTGTTGAAATTTATCAGCCTGACCTAGGAGACTTAAATAGGGTAACGATGCAAGTGTCAAGATTCCTTCAATCGTTCATCAGCTGCAGGTGCTTCAAAAGTTTCATTCCAGCATTGCTGGAGTTGCTATCACTTGGGAATTTTTATCTCACAAGACAGCCTAACCAATACACAGAAGACAGAATTTCTGAAGAGATCTTCATTATCACAGAGTTAGGGCAAGAGAAATTCTACATAGGAGGCAGAGGAAAGACAGGGACAGAGGGTAGAAGAGGAATAGGAATATCATAATACAGCATATTCAACTACATATACTGAACATCAGAGGAAGTGCCTATCTCAGGACACTACAATGAAAATGTTTTGGCATCTTGAAGAAGGTCATGTAATGTTGCCAAACATCATATGAATGACATCTACTGCATAAACCATCCTGGATAAGTACTGTAATGTGCAAGTTGAAGTTTCACAGTACCAGGAAATTACGAACTGTGAAGGAGGCAGTGAAAGTACAAACACATACTGGTTGGCCAAGTGACATGAGCTATTAGATACCAACAAAGCTGTGGAAGGCTCACAATCAGCCATTCAAATTTCACCTTATTCCTAAGCACCACTTGTTGCCAGTGTAATGTAAGTTCATTATATCCTTCACCCCGTCTGAGTACCTTAAGTCTTACTAGACATCAATTAAAGCATAAGTAAAAAAAAAATGTAAGCACTAACAGTATACAAATGGGAGGAAGAGAAGGAGCAAGTAAAGTGAGAAGGATGGCAATACTCACCAAAATGTCAGCATTGACAGCATACAAAATTGCATGAGGGATGGAAGATGTGCGTTGGTCCTCATAAGGTGGCCACACTTCCGATATCCCCTGAGTAAGGAACATAACAGGGTAGCGATTCTGCTTGAGGCGAAGCATTGTGCAGATGTCTGGGTGAAAACAAGAGAAAACTATTTTTCTCTTGCCAGAGTGCTCCAAAATCATCTGGTGAGAGAAACGCTTTGACAATAAATCACATAAAAACAACATGAAGGAGGATTCCCATACAGTACTAGTTAATTGTGCTCGGACTGTAGGGAAATGAATGGAGAAGCTATAGTGACTACCATAATCTGTATAAACTCAATGGACATCAGGGTTAAAAATCTATCTGAACCCCCCCACACCCAGATACACACAAAATATGAGGTACTCTAAGGGGAGAAATCGGCCGGTCAAACTGATTTTCAAGACAGAAACTATGTGGAACAGGATCCTGCAAGAGAAACCATGGCTGAGGGAAACAACATACAAGAGAATGTTCCTAGACTGTAACAGAACGAGAACAGAACAACAGCAACCGAGAGAGAGGACACAGAAACGAAAGGGGCTACAAGGAGAGATGAGGATAGAGGTGGCAGAAGACAACCAGAGCGCACACACACACACACACACAAAACCATTCTCAAAACCCCTCAGCCAGACACACTATCCCAATACAAACCACAATCCACACTCACAGCCCCCACCCCACACTATGCAGTAGAATCCCACAGCATCCTGCCAGGTCTTCCACTCCCCCAACCTCCACAACCCCCCCAGAACACAGTGAGAGGAAACTGAAGGTATGGTACACTAATGCTGATGGAATAACGAACAAGTGGGAGGAGTGGCATAAAAGAGTCAAAGAGGCATCACCAGACATCATAGCTGTCACAGAAACCAAGCTCACAGGAATGATAATAGATGCCATCTTTCCAATGGGTTATCAGATCCTGAGGAAAGACAGAGATGGGGTGGAGGAGTGGCACTATTCATCAAAAACCAATGGGATTTTGAGGAGCTGGAGAGAGGAGGTTGAGAAGCAAGAGACTACATAATAGGAACGATTCAGTCTGGAGGTCCCAAGTTGGTAATTGCAGTGATGTATAACCCACCACAGAATAGCAGGAGGCCAAGGCAAGAATGTGATGAGAATAACAGAGTGATGGTTGACACGCTGGCTAAACTGTCCAGAAGGGCTCATGTGAGTAGGGCAAACTTACTGGTTGTGGGTGACCTCAATCACAAAGAAATTGACTGGGAAAACCTGGAGCCACATGGAGGCCCAGAAATGTGGAGGGCTAAGATGATGGAGGTGGTACAGGAAAACTTCATGTACCAACACGTAAGGGACACTACCAAAGAGAAGAGAGGACAAACCAGCAAGACTGGACCTAGTAGTCACCTTGAGTAATAATATACAAGGTATACATGACTAGCTGACATCAATGACATACACTATATAGAAAGTCCCTTGTTATGCAGAGCATTTTGGGCAAATTAGGTCAGCTTTGTCCCAGGATGTGACCCACAACATTTGACTAACAAAAAGGTACCCATTTTACTGATGGGTGAACACAGACAACCAGTGTAAGGAAACACGTCCAATGTTTCCACCCCTTTGCAAGGAATCAAACCTGGACCCTCACTGTGTGAAGCAAGAGGTTTTGCCACTGGCCCCCTAGGGGCCAGTGACCATGTGGTTCTGAGCTTCGATACATAGTAGAATTACAAGTGGAGATGTAAGTGGGAAGGGCATGACAAATGTAGCCAAACTACAAGGGAGGGGACTACACATGCATGAGGAATTTCCTGCACAAAGTTCAGTGGGACAAAGAACTGTCAGGGTGATCAGTAAATGAGATGATGGAATATGTGACAACAACATGCAAGGAAGCAGAGGAGAAATTTGTACCCAAGGGTAACAGAAATAACAAAAATGCCAGGACAAGCCCTTGGTTCACCCAAAGGGGTAGAGGGGCCAAAACCAAGTGTGCTTGAGAATGGAAGAAGTATAGAAGGCAAAGGACCCAGGAGAATAAGGAGAGCAGTCGTAGAGCCAGAAATGAATATGCTCAGGTAAGGAGGGAGGCATAACGACAATATGAAAATGACACAGCAGTGGAAGCCAAATCTGATCCGAAGCTGTTGTATAGCCACATCAGGAGGAAAACAACAGTCAAGGGCCAGGTAATCAGGCTGAGGAAGGAAGGAGGGGAGTTCACAAGAAATGACTCAGTGATATGTGAGGAACTCAACATGAAATTCAAAGAAGCATTCACAGAGGAGACAGAACAGACTCCAGAAAGAAGGAGTGGTGGGGTACACCACCAAGTGTTAGACACAATGCATACAACTGAGGAGGAGGTGAAGAGGCTGCTAGGTGAGTTAAATACCTCGAAGGCGATGGGGCTGGATAACATCTCTCCACGAGTCCTGAGAGAGGGAGCAGAGGCGCTCTGTGTACCATTAACAACAATCTTCAACACATCTATCAAAACAGGGTGACTACCTGAGGTATGAAAAACAGCAAATGTAGTCCAAATTTTTAAAAAAGGAGACAGACATGAAGCATTTAACTACAGACCAGTTTCACTGACACATGTAGTATGCCAAGTCATGGAGAAGATTATCAGAAGAGTGGTGGAGCACCTAGAAAGGAATGAGCTTATCAATGACAACCAGCAAGGTTTCAGGGATAGGAAATCACGTGTCACAAACCTAGTGGAATTCTATGACAGGGTGACAGCAGTGAGACGGGGGTGGATAGATTGTGTTTTCTAGGACTATAAGTAAGCTTTTGACATGGTACTACACAAGAGATTAATGCAAAAGCTGGAGGACCAGGGAAGGCACTGCAATGAATCAAGAGAATACCTGGCAGAAAGGCAGCAGAGTCACTGAACATGATGAGGTGTCAGTTGGCACCTGTGCTAAGCGGGGTTCCACAGGGGTCAGTCTTAGGACTGGTGCTGTTTCTGGCATATGTGATTGACATAATGGAAGGAACAGACCCAGAAGTGTCTCTGTTTGCAGATGATGTGAAGTTAATGAGGAGAATTCAATCGGAGGACGACCAGGCAGGACTACAAAGGAATCTGGACAGGCTGCAGGCCTGGTCCAGAAGCTGATGCCTGGAGATCAACCTCACCAAGTGCAAAGTCATGAAAATTGGGGAAGGGCAAAGAAGACTGCAAATGGAGTACAGTCTAGGGGGTGAGAGACTATAAACCTCACTCAAGGAAAAGGATCTTTGGGTGAGTATAATACTGAGCACATTTCCTGAGGTCCACATCAACCAAATAACTGCTGAAGCAAATGGGCACCTAGGAAACCTAAGAGTAGCAGTCCGACATCTCAGTAAGGAATTGTTCAGGACCCTGTACACCGTGTATGTCAAGCCCATAGTGGAGTATGCAGCACCAGTTTGGAACCCACACCTAGCCAAACATGTAAGGAAATTTGAGAAAGTGCAAAGGTTTGTAACGAGACTAATCCTGGAGCTAAGGGGCATGTCCTACGAGGACAGGTTAAGGGAAATTGACCTGACAAGACTGGAGGACAGGAGAGATAGGCAGGATATAACGACATATAAAATACTAAAAGGAATTGACAAGGTGGACAGAGACAGGATGTTCCAGAGATGGGACATAGCAACAAGGGGTCATAATTGGAAGTTGAAGACTCAGATGAGTCACAGGGATGTTAGGAAGTACTTCAGAAACAGAACTGTCAGGAATTGGAATAGTCTGGAAAGTGATGTAGTAGAGGCTGGATCCATACATAGATTTAAGAAGAGGTATGATAAAGCTCATGGAACAGGGAGTGTGACCTAGTAGCACCCAGTGAAGAGGCGGGGCCAGGAGCTGTGACTCGACCCCTGCAACCACAACTAGGTTAGAACACACAAGAGAAGAATATGAAGAGAGCAACAGAGCAATGGTGGACACACTAGCTGAGGTGGCCAGAAGAGCTCACACGGGTAGAGCAAAATTACTAGTTACGGGTGATTTCAATCACAAAGAGATTGACTGGGAAAAACTGGAGCCACATAGGGGTCCCAAAACATGGAGAGCCAAGATGATGGATGTGGTACTGGAAAACCCCATGCATCAACATGTTAAGGACACTACCAGAAAGAGAGGTAAGGATGAACCAGCAAGACTAGACCTCGTATTCACCTTGAGTAGTTCGGACATCATGTACGAAAGGCCCCTCGGAGCTAGTGATCACGTGGTTCTGAGGTTTGAATACATACTAGAGTTACAGGTGGAGAGGGTAGCAGGAGGAGGATGGGAGAAGCCAAACTACAAAAGAGGGGACTCAACAGGCATGAGGAACTACCTGCAAGAGGTTCAGTGGGAAAGAGAATTGGTAGGAAAATCAGTAAACAAAATGATGGACTACGTGATGAGAAAATGCAAGGAGGCAGAGGAGGTTTGTTCCTAATGAAAATATAAATAATCTGAAGACCAGAATGAGCCCTTGTGCACCCAAAAGTGTAGTGGAGCAAAAAACTGTGTGCTAGAGAATGGAAAAAGTACAGAAGACAGAGGGCCCAGGAAAATAGAAAGATTAGTTGAAGAGCCAGAAACGAGTATGCATAGATAAGGAGGGAGGCCCAGCAGCAAAACAAAAATGAGATAGCATCGAAACTAAAGTCAAACCAGAAGCTGTTGTACAGCCACATCAGGAGGAAAACAACAGTCAAAGACCAGGTAATCAGGTTGAGGAAGGATGGCCGAGAGTTCACAAGAAATGACCAAAAATTATGTGAGGAGCTGAACATGAGATTTAAAGAACTACTGATAGTGGAGACAGAAAGGACTCTTGTAGTCAGAATAGGGGGGTGCACCAACAAGGAATATACCGACAAGTGCTGGATGAAATACACACATCCGAGGAGGAGATGAAGAGGCTGCTAAGTGAACTTGTTACCTTGAAGGCGGTGGGACCGGACAACACCCCTCCTTGGGTCCTTATAGAGGGAGCAGAGATGCTGTGTGTGCCACTAACAACAATCTTCAACATATCCACTGAAACTGGGAAACTACCTGAGGTATGGAAAACAGCAAATGTAGTCCCAATTTTTAGGAAAGGAGACAAACACAAGGCATTAAACTACAGACCAGTGTCACTGATGTGTATAGTATGCAAAGTCATGGAGAAGATAACCAGGAGAGTGGTGGAGCACCTAGAAAAGAACAAGCTTATAAACGACAACCAGTACAATTTCAGGGAAGGGAAATCCTGTGTCACAAACATACTGGAGTTTTATGACAAGGTGATGGAAGTAAAACATGAGAGTAAGGGGTTACCCACCCCTTACTGCAAGAAGGCCTTCAACACAGTTCCTCACAAGAGATTAGTGCAAAAGCTAGAGGATCAGGCATGCATAACAGGAAAGACACTGCAATGAATCAGAGAATTCCTGACAGGGAGGCAACAATGAGTCATAGTACATGACGAGGTGTCAGAATGGGCGCCTGTGAGGCAATGGGTTCCACAGGGGTCAGTCCTAGGATCAATGCTGTTTTTGGTATATGTGAATGACATGACAGAAGCGACAGACTCAGAAGTGTCCCTGTTTGCAGATGATGTGAAGTTAATAAGGAGAATTAAATTGGATGAGGATCAGGCAGGACTACCAAGAGACCTGGACAGGCTGCAATCGTGGTCCAGTGACTGGCTCCTCGAATTTAACCCTGCCAAATGCAGTCATAAAGATCAGGGAAGTGTAAAGAAGACTGCAGACAGAGTATAGGCTAGGTGGCCAAAGACTGCAAACCTCACTCAAGGAAAAGGACCTTGGGGCGAGTATAATACCAAGCACATCTCCTGAGGCGCACATCAACCAGACAACTGCTGCAGCATATGGGCACCTGGCAAACCTAAGAATAGCATTCTGATACCTCAGTAAGGAATTGTTCAAGACTCTGTACACTGTGTATGTCAGGCCCATATTGGAGCATGCAGCACCAGTTTGGAACCCACACCTGGTCAAGCACATCAAGAAATTAGAAAAAGAGCAAATGTTTGCAACAAGACTAGTCCCAGAGCTAAGGGGAATGTCCTACAAAGAAAGGTTAAGGGAAGTTGACCTGACAACACTGGAGGACAGGAGGGTTATGGGAGACACGATAACAACACACAAAATACTGCGGGGAATTGACAAGCTAGACACAGCCAGGATGCACCAGAGATGGGACACAAAAAGGGGTCACAATTGGAAGTTGAAGATTCAGAAGAGTCAAACGGATGTCAGGAAGTATTTCTTCAGTCACAGAGTTGTCGTGAAGTGGAATAGTCTGGAAAGTGACAAGTAGAGGCAGGATCAATACATAGTTTTAAGATGAGATATGATAAAGCTCATGGAACAGGGGGAGGACCTAGTAGTGACCAGTGAAGAGGCGGGGCCAGGAGCCATGACTCGACCCCTGCAACCACAATTAGGTGAGCGTGCGCACACACGCATACGCACACACACAAAATGGCTACTTTATTAGGCATACCTGCTCACTAATGCAAATATCTAATCAGCCAAGACTAGAATATTGCTTAAGAGGAACTGCTTTCTAATAGTGCTTGAGTATCTTTCTCCAAGCACATATGTTGTACAATTTGCTTTCTGACTGCATTAAAGTTCTTCTCCATGCACACTTGTCACAATAATTTCTTATTCAAGACCATGAGCTGGTTTCTGTTGACATCTGAGTTTTAATCTCAGAATTAAGAGGCATGCATAGTACCAGCAAATAGGGTAAACTAAAGCACCTAGCAAGGTGAGTACATATTATGTATACCCTCTGCTCTAAGTCTCACCTTTTCATACTCTCATCCATACTTGCATTACACATCCATAGGGACAGCAACCATCTAGAAAGCTACAAATGTCCTGTCACACAAGTAAAAAATAGGTTCAATTCAATGTTCTGCACTGAGAAGATTGTTTTATTCATTGTCTCGTGAACATGTGTGATGGTACGTAAATCTTGAAAACTTCTACTTACATTCTTTATACACTTTACTTTTATCTGTCTCTTAACAGTTTTTATTCCTGGAATATTTCCTTCCTAGTTTAGGAGGCCTGGTTTGAGACTGCTACAAGTATAACTAATATATCAAGTCAAAACCTACCACAAACACACTTGCTTTCTGTCCATGTTAAAGCAAAACTTTTTCTGTATGCCGAAATTTACCTTAATAATGAGATCCATGAAATGGTTTAATTCAAAGGGATGTTGGAGTTCATATGTGCCATCCCTCAGCTGCATCGTCCATTTGACTTCCACATTAAAGCCACAAGTAAGCGGGACACACTCGAGAGCTCTTTGCAGTGTGGGAAATGGCTGATGATCCTCAAACTCCTCATCACAAAACCTACTCAGCCCTTGTTCCTTCTTGTGGTAAACCTGCAAAGTCAGAAAAAATGAAGTTTAATTGACAAAAACAAAAACAAGTGACAGAAGGCTGAGTCTCTTGGCTTAAATGTTTTTTCGGCAGCCTTCATCACTTCTTCAGCTTCTCACCACTGACCTTCAGGAAATGGCAAATCTATATTTGTCATGGTTAGAGTAATAAAATATTAACAGATGCCAAACATTTAAAAAAAAAATATATATATATATATAGTGCTAAAAAAAAGGAAAACAGCAGCTTTATTATTAAATACTGTACTAAAATAATTTATCATAATATACAATATCTGTGCATGTTTAATAACAAAATTTATTATAAATAAACTTGAACTGATCACTGCCATTATAATTACAGTATTGTACTACAATCTTGTAGCAAACCAAATATTAGTACCAAGTAAGATTAGGGGTCCATTCCAGAAATGTAAATATGCATGCGGATGAATACGCACGCACGCACACACGCGCGCACACACACACCACACACACACACACACACACACACACACACACACATACATATATATAATACGTACCACTATTAAGGGGGTTACAAGTCTTGAATGTATAAACTTATTATACTATCACTAGCACCTTTCTTGGTATAAAGTCTACTAGCATGGGCAAATTTCTGCTGATACCTGCCTTGACATACAGTAAGTATAAGAGTGCAGTATTTGAATACTCTAACTGGAAGGTTGACATGAATGACATTCTTCATGACAGCAATGAACACACTTTAATTTTTCATATATCTCACCAATGCAAACTAACATTATAAAATTGTACAATCAGGAGCACTCACAGCAACCAGACTATTTCTGACCCCAGGTTTACATTACAATAAATGAAAATGAGACACTTATGCAACATATAGGAATCTTTATTGAGGAAATGTTTTGCCACACAGTGGCTTCATCAGTCCAATACAAAGAAGAATGGGGTAAAGAGAGGAGGAGTTTGAGGTAGTGTGTCCCTCAGCCTGGAATCGATATGTTCAGTCCATCAATCTTTAAGACTGATGAACCGAACTGATGAAGCCACTGTGTGGGGAAACATTTCCTCAATAAAGATTCCCATATGTTGCATAAGTGTCTCATTCTTCAGCAAGTTAGTTTTCAAAATCATTTATCACATTACAATAATTACCTTAAGATGAATGACAAAGCATAATTACTTGAGCCTTGTCATTCTGCAACCAATTTTCAAACCCTGCATTATATGCATTGAAATATGAACATTATCTGTATGTGACCACCTACTGTTACACATACCAAGGAATATTCAAGATTCTAGTTCATTTCTGTAGTTTTCAGTAAGCTTTCTTTTAAATCACTCATTTTTGCATCTTTTAAAATCAATGATATAACTTTATTCTACCACAAGAGGACTTTTTTCCTAATCCTGATCACTGTACTGTGACGTGGACAATCATTAGTCTCAAGTTGCAATCTGACTTTGCAGATCCTGATCCATACAACAGAGCATAAGGTGAGTATAATTCTTAATGAGGTTCATGTAATTTGTAATTGATCAGGCCTTGTCATATCTTCATCTAAAGCAAAGATATTGACAAGCAAATGACATCCCACCACTGATCTGTTTGTAGGGTAAAAACATCAGCTATGTTAAATCTTACAGATATCTTGGTTTAGAGGTTCCCTTCAGTACGCTGAGATCAGTGGTCATGTGTGGTCATACCTGTCCTAAGCTGTCTGGGATTTGGCGTGGGGTGTTACCTAGCACCATGGCTTGTTGTAGAGTTTTAGAATCTCACATTAGTGTTGAAGGAGGTGGTTCTACTTCTTCAGTAGGAAATTGGGAGGCTGAAGCTTTGTCTAGAAAAGTTTGGGAGTGAGTGTGAGATGGTTGTGGGTGGTAAGGAGGAAAAAGCTACCAGCAGTGATTTGGAGAGTGGCAGCCTCTTTAAGCGGCAAGTGGTTCACAATTCAGGAAGAAGGAAGATAAGGAAGGTTAATAGAGATGTGAAGGAAATTGATTCTCTGTTCTCCAGGACGAGTGTACTTCAGTGGTTAGTGAGGTTAAAGGTACCACTGACTCCCCTGCTTATCAAGGTAAGAATATTCTAACTGTTGGAGATTCTCAGGTAAGATATAGGGACCGTGCTTTTTGTAAGAGATAGAAAGGTCAGACAGAGGGTGTGCCTCTCAGGAGCTGGTGTTGGTGACATAGTCAGCAGGTTGGATAATATTATGTCAGGCAATGGAAACAAGCCCATTATCTGTCTTAGTGCTGGTGGAAATGACATCAGGAAGGGAAGGAGACAGGAGCTGCTGGATAACTACAGGTCAGCCATAGATGTAGTCAGGTTTAAGGGAGGGATCCCAATCATATGTAGCATCTTGCCTAGAAGGGAAGTGGGCAATGAATGGATGTCTAGGGCAATTGGTATAAATTGCTGGCTAGACAGGTACTGCAAGGAACTTGCAATCCCATTCGTTGATAACTGGGACATATTCTATGGCAAATGTGATATGTATGCAAGGGATGGGGTTCATCTCTCTGGGGCTGGAGTGGTTGCATTAGCCAATTCGATTGAGGGGGTTATTAGCGACATGTCTGGGACTTTAAACTGATAGATTATAGAGGTATGGGTGTCTGTGGGAAACAATCAGGTAGCAGTACTAGGGTTGAAAACAGCAGATATAACCAAGATACCTCAGGGATATGTTTAGAAGACAATATTCAAATTAAAGTTGCTAGTAAAGGCAAAGTAATTGATTAGCAAGTAGAGATGGTAGAGGGCAATGAATGACTAGCTCCCTTAAGGTTTACTATACAAATAGTAGGAGTCTAAGAAATAAGATAGACGAGCTATGATTACTTGCAAGTGCAGGTAATATATATATTATTGCTATAACAGAGACCTGGTTCAACTTGAAAGATAGAGAAATGACTTCTGAATGCAACATACAGGGTTATAAACTATTCCACACTGATAGGGTCAGTAGGAAGGGTGGAGTGGCGATGTTTGTCGGAGATAATTTAAATTGTTATGTTAGACAAGATATAAAATTAGAAACATTGGACACAGAATCTGTTTGGCTACAGTTTCTCGAGGGTCGTGAAAAGTTAATTTTGGGTGTGATTTATAGGCCCCCAAACCTTGATAGAGAGTGCAGTAAGCTGCTATGGGATGAAATTCATAAGGTATCTAGATATGAAAATGTTGTGTTAATGGGAGATTTTAACTTTAGACAAATTGATTGGCACAATGTGACAGGAAATCTTGAGTTTAGTTACTTTCTTGATACGATTCAGGATTACTTTTTAAAACAGTTTGTGACAGAACCAACTAGAGGAAACAACCTGCTTGACTTGGTTCTTGCCAACAAAGAATCACTAATTAATAATCTTGAGGCTAATGATGAGCTTGGGGAAAGTGATTACAAATCACTTAGCTTCAATATATCATGGAATTACCCAGATAACTGCAATCAAGTCTCTATCCTAGACTTCCGCTTGGCTGATTTCATGGCAATGAGAAATTACCTGGGTGGGCTAAATTGGGATGACTTGACTATGGGTCAGGCTGGTGGTGTTGGTTGCCAATGTGACATTATTCAGAGCATAGTCCTAGCTGCCCACACAACTTCTGTTCTGAGTAGGATAATTAGATCTAACAAAAATGATCCCAAATGAATGAACAATAGATTAAAACATCTCGCTTGTCAAAAGAGAGGCATATATAGGCATATCAAAAGAGGGGATGGGCAGTTAAGAAATCAATATATTCAATTAAAGAGAGAAATAAAAAAAAGGTATACAGAAGTAAGATTAGGGACAAAATAGGCCCATTTAAGAGTAAATCAGGTCAGATCACTGACAGTGACAAAGAAATGTGTGAAATTTTCAATACTTACTTCCTCTCAGTTTTTACTCAGGAAGATACTAGCAAAATTCCAGAAATAATAAATAATGTAGAACAGGACGATAATAAACTATGCACGACTGGGGTAACCAGTGACATGGCCCTCAGACAAACAGAGAAATTAAAACCTAACAAATGCCCAGGCCCTGATGAATTGTTTGCAAGGGTTTTAAAGGAATGTAAAAAGGAACTTAGCAAACCTTTGGCTAATTTTTTCAACAAATCACTACAAACTGGCACAGTGCCAGATAAGTGGAAAATGGTAAATGTAATACCTATTTACAAGGCAGGTGACAGTTCCTTAGCTTCGAACTATAGATCAATAAGCCTTACCTCCACAGTGGGAAAATTCATGGAATCAATAATTGCCAAGGCAATTCGTAGCCATCTTGAAAGGCATGAATTGATTAATGAATCTCAGCACGGTTTTACAAAGGGGCATTCCTGTCTTACGAATTTACTAACTTTTTCCACTAAGGTATTCGAGGAGGTAGATCATGGAACTGAATATGATACTGTGTATATGGACTTCAGTAAGGCTTTCGATAGATTTCCACATCAGAGGCTATTGAAGAAACTTAAGGCACACAGAATATGAGAAATTTTTTCCTGGGTAGAGGCATGGTTGACAAATAGGCAGCAGAGAGTTTGCATAAATGAGGAGAAATCAGAATGGGGACACGTCACAAGCGGTGTTCCACAAGGGTCAGTGTTGGGCCCCTTGTTGTTCACAATTTACATAAACGACATAGATGAGGGAATAAATAGTGACATAAGCAAATTTTCTGATGACACCAAAATAGGCCATCCAATTCATTCTAATGAGGACATTAGAGCATTCCAGGATGATTTGAATAGACTGATGCAATAGTCAGAGAAGTGGCAGAAGCAGTTTAATATAGACAAATGCAAAGTTCTAAATGTTGGAAAGGATAATAACCATGCTACATTATAAACTAAATAATGTAGATCTTAATATTACTGATTGTGAAAAGGATGTAGGAGTTCTGGTTAGCAGTAATCTGATATCAAGACAACAGTACATAAGTGTTCACAATAAAGCTAACAGAATCCTTGGCTTCATATCAAGATGCATAAATAA